CTATCGGATTGGCATGCCACACCAGCGTGGCTCGTATCCAGAGTCTGAAGATTGCTTTCGTAGGCGTTCGGACCAGATAAAGCTGCAGACGTAGGACGGAACCAGATTGAGCGGAGCCAGAAACGACCATTTCGAAACCATTCGTATACCAGATATATTCGTCACCAGAAAATCGACTGAGTGCATTGACTAGAGCGTGGGTGATCAGGCCAGCTTTCGCCAAGGTCGACTGAAGTCGACGGTACCAACAGGACAATGGTCGGAGGTATAGGCTCGGGATAAAAAAAAATCAAAGAAAAAGGAGAAAGAGTGTAGCATGCGTGTAGTATGATGGTAAAATCCTATGCCGTCCCTGTGAAGGATTGGTAGTTATTCGAGAAAGCGTACAGGTAGGCGTACGCGGCGACCGGAACGCGAGACAGTAGCCTCGTGCGTACCTTGTGAGCCTGCATTCTCATCCGCAGTCAAGTGCGGCGTGGTCTGCTGATCTGGACGTGAGACCGGAGTCTCATCCGTAGATAGTGCAGATGGCGCGTGCTGCTGACTGGGACGTGAGAATGAGGTTTCTGATTTCCCTAGCGTGGGATCCGGGGTAGTTTTGAGGATCCCGCTAGGTGTAGCATTGGGTCTCGGATTAGCAAGTAGGGCACTGTCATCGACGTGTGCTGGCTTGAGACGATCAATGCTAACTACCTCGACGCGGCCATGTCGAGCAACCTTGAAGGTCTTTTCGTGACGAGAAATCACGTGAAAAGGTCCTTCGTAAGGTTGTTGCAAAGGTTTGCGTACCGAATCAACTCGAATGAAAACATGTGAGCAGGTAGATAACTCTCGGGGGAGAGCGACCTGTCGATGTTGTACTCGAGTTGACACCGGAGGCAGTGCTCGCATAAATGCAGACAGTCGTTGGACGTAGTCTGATTTATTGAAGTTATCACTGCTCCGTGGTGTGAAAAATTCCCCAGGCAGACGCAATGTCGTGCCGTATACCAATTCAGCGGCGGAACATTGAATATCTGCCTTTAAGCTCGTTCTGATGCCTAGAAGGACGAGCGGTAAGGTTTCGTACCAATTATTGTTTTCGTGTGCTCGAAGAGCGTTTTTGAGCTGGCGATGAAACCTTTCGACTAAACCATTTGAAGCTGGGTGGTAGGCGGTAGTGCGTATGCGCTCCGTACCAAGCAGCCGAGTTAGCGAGGAGAATAGTTCGGACTCGAATTGTTGTCCTCGGTCAGTTGTGACAGTCGAGGGACAACCGTACAGAGCTATCCATCGTTCTACGAAGCGGTGAGCAACTGTTTCCGCCGTAATAGAAGTGACGGGAATAGCTTCGGGCCATCTTGTAAAGCGATCAATGCACGTGAGTATGTGATCATACCCATGCGATGGTGGTAATGGTCCTACAATGTCAATATGAACGTGATCGAAGCGAGCATCAGGCGTAGCAAATGTGCCGATGGGGGCGGCTACGTGCCTGTGCACTTTTGATCGTTGACATTGTAAGCATTGCTTTACCCACATACGGACATCATTGTTCATGGAAGGCCAGACGTATCGTGCAGCGATAAGACGTAATGTAGCTGCGATGCCTGGATGAGACAAACCATGAAGGGCATCGAAGACGAGACGACGATAAGCAGAGGGTACGATGGGTCGAGGAAGACCATTAGAGGTATCACATAGGATAGTGCCTGAGGTAGTAGCTAGGGGCACTTCCTGACACTGAAGGGATGTATTCTGTTGTGCTTCTGAACAAGAAGGATCGTTTGCTTGGGCGGCGGCCATAGCAGGAAGATCGAGCACTGGTGAAGTAACTGCATTCATTTGAATACGTGACAAAGCATCAGCAACGTAGTTCGACTCGCCTTTAATATGACGAAGGTCTGTCGTGAACTGAGAGATATAGTCCAAATGTCTGCACTCTCGCGGTGAGTAGCGGTCAGATTTTGTATGAAGAGCATACGTTAGGGGCTTATGGTCGGTAAAAAGGATAAAGTTACGACCTTCTACTGCGTGCCGAAAATGTTTGGTGGCACAGTAGGCTGCTAGCAGTTCGCGACCAAAAGCGCTATATCTCATCTCCGTGGTAGTAAGGCGTCGTGAGAAAAATTCGAGAGGTTGCCAACTTCCAGAGATGTTTTGTTGCATGACGGCTCCTATAGCGAAATCGGATGCATCAACCGCTATACTGAGCGTGGCTGATGGGTCGGGATGGGCGAGGAGCGTAGCTTGAGCTAAAGCTTTTTTAATTTCGGAAAATGCAGTACGTGCGTCATCGTTCAATTCTAGCTTACGTGGATTCCCGCGAAGTAGATCGGTTAGTGGTCGTAACTGTTCCGCGGCGTGAGGAATGAAACGTCGATAGAAGTTGACCAAACCGAGAAAAGCCTTCAGTTCTTTGAGTGAAGACGGTACAGTGTACTCCATGATCGTACGTACTTTATCTTCACATGGTAAAATACCCTCATGCTTTATAACGTGACCCAGAAATTTTATTTCTGCTTTTCCAAGTTCGCACTTATCTGGGTTGATTAGTATTCCATTATCCGAAAGACGTTGGAATAAGAGTTTCAGATGTTGATAATGTTTATCTACGTTTGATGATGCGATTAACAAGTCATCAATATAGACGTGAACAAAATCAAAGTCTCGTACTATGCTATCGATAAACCTCTGGAAAGTTTGAGCAGCATTCCGTAATCCAAATGGCATTCGTAGGAACTCAAACAGACCGAAAGGAGTCGTGACAGCAGTTTTCTCAATATCCTCAGGAGCGACTGGGATCTGATGGTATGCCCGTACCAGATCGATCTTAGAATAGATAGTCGTGCCCTTGAGTGATGCCGTGATGTCGTGTATGTGGGGGATGGGGTAACTATCGAAACGCGTGACTACATTTAGTGCTCGGTAGTCGCCACATGGTCGCCAACTTATCCCATCCTTTTTTCGAACCATGTGGAGTGGTGAGGCCCATGGACTGTGAGAAGGACGAATAATACCAGTAGCTAGTAAATTGTCGAACTCACGTTTAGCGAAAGCTAATTTGTCCGGTGCCAGTCGGCGAGGCTTTGCCGTGACTGGTGGTCCGCGGGTGACGATGTGGTGTTCCACATGTCGGGTCACCGACGGAGTCTCCTCGAGTGGTTTAGTTAATTGGGGGAATTTTTCGAATAAAGCGTGGAAAATGTCATCACGCGAATGAAATAAACCTGTTATTCGGTACGCATTTGTATGAGCTCGAAAGCCCATAAATTTGTTGTTCGACGAAGTATCGATTAGCTGCAGCCTACGTGAATCGACTAGCAATTCATAGTGCTGTAGGAAATCGATACCGAGTATAGCTGTGGGAACATCGGCAATGATGAACGTCCACAGATACTGTCGTCGGTTGCTCAGGTTGACCGATAGCTGTCGTGTACCATAGGTAGGAATGACAGTGCCATTCGCAGCGCGTAATCGAATTATTGTAGGTTGTAACTTGCTGCTACCTAATGGTACGACAGAAACTTAGGCACCGGTGTCAACTAGGTACCTAGCGTTCGTGCGGATATCGTGCACGTAAAATAAACGGCCAACCTGAGGTGACGGTGAGGAGACAGGTGGAAATGCCATGACCTGCCCCTCGGAGTCTATTATTATAGCTATCTACCATTTCGAAAAGTTGTTGCAAGTATTAAATATATTAAAGACATTATTTATAGTATTGCAACATTATAAAAATGGTAGTAGATGAATAATAGACTCACCGTAATTGACTTCTTTTGAAGAAACGTCAGTCTCACCAATTTTAGTGAGCGAGTCCGGAAACCAGCTTGACTATGCCCACCACTAAATGTTCCATATGGTTGCGTGATAAAAAGGAGAACAAAATAAATCCATAGTTCAGTGGTTTATTGAAGGAGAACGTTGGCGTTACATAGGGAGCAGAAACATGGCGGCAACGCGAAGAGAACGTTGCGCGCAAGAAGTCGAAGAAGTGTTTTTGGTACAATTAAACACAGCGAATACAATAATGATCACATTTCAAAAATCGCATTTTCTTCGTAGAAGCGTTCCACTACAAAGTATTGAAACTTCACCAGCTGAGGTGGTTGGGACATGTTTTGCGTATGCCCAACCACCGACTGCGTCCACGAGCTTTGTTTTGTAGTGTAGGAATAGGTTGGAAGAAAGTTAGGGGCGGCCAAACCAAAACATGGCAGAAATCCATTAGGTCATCGACTAGTGGACTGAGCCATGTCGGTAATTGTCGACTACCTGGTTGGGGTCCGCGAGATGATAATAATCGATGGTTAGAGACCTTGAATGACATGACTCAAAATCGTTCGCAATGGCGCCAGTGCATTTATGCTTTGTGTTCTCTCAAATCCTAATCTTCTGGATTCTTCAACACCTCTAGTTTCGACTCTCGAAACTTTTCTCACTGAATCATACTTCTTGAATCATATCTTCTAATCCTAACCTCTCCGATTACTTCTAATTCCCTTACTACCTCTTCTACTATTGGATTTGAATTGGCCATTACTTCTCTGTGCTGATGTGGTATGGCGACATGAACTGATGTACTCATGTACAAAGTTCCACATTGCATCTGATTGACTGACTGTAGTTAGCGGCATCTGTTTGCCGACCGTAAATGTATATAATCAGCCACCGTGACAGGAATGGAATCAATCTTATGATAGTGAGGCTTATTCCAGTTGGCTCCAATCCCAAAGGGATAAAATTTACTCAGCAGTTCAGAGAAGAAAGGTCAAAACCCTCATATGAAGTTTGCCCTTACCATTTTCGAGAAAAGCTAGACTCCATAAACTCGATGCTGGTATACTCTTCGAATTTCATGATATGTGTACAAAAATCCTTCACGCCAGCTCTTGAACACTCAGTATTCAGCATGTAACCTAATCTGCCTCCATTCTCGTTCTTATGATAAAAATCATAGCTATCGAATTATGTAACAATTTCCATCCCAAAAATCATCCCATGCATTTGATACTATATCCAACACTTGTTTGAATAGTGCTAGCAATTTGGCGGTACAGTGAACAGGAATTTTTCCTCGTGGGTTCACATTTTTGATACTTAAGCAATGGTTCACGGCAATGATATCCTGCACAATAACCACTTCAGAAAAAAATGGCAATTTATGGTAAAAACATGGTTCAACCAACCAGCACGCAAAGAACGCAGACGGAAAGCAAGAAAAGCCAAAGCTCAAAGAATTGCACCGAGACCAGCTTCTGGTCCACTTCGGCCCATTGTCAACTGTCCTACATTCCGATATAATATGAAAGTCAGAGCTGGACGTGGGTTTTCACTACAAGAGGTTCGAGCTGCTGGTTTAAATCCGAAATTCGCCCGGACTATTGGGATAGCTGTTGATCACCGTCGACGAAATGTCTCTGTTGAAGGGTTACAAAGAAACGTTGCTCGACTTAAGGCCTACAAGGCGAGACTTATATTGTTCCCCTTAAATCCAGCGAAGCCTCAAGCCATGGATGCAAAGGTTAGTTCAACTAGTTTTATTACTTAGGTCCTATGAACGTTGGTTTTAACGATGTATGTAGTTATTAGAGTCACTCAAATACCATGTCACCACATAGATCTAGGCAATATTGTGCACCATTATTCTTCTATAGTGCCGGAGAAGCTACAAGCTAGTTTTAAACCTGTTCCTCGGCTTGTTGTATCCAATTATAATCGTCAATTATGTAATTCTTTAGTAGCTTTTGAAACGCAAGTCTAAATCCGTACTTTTCAACATTACTGCGGTGCAGTACTCTGTTCATCGTGAGGTTCTACAGCAGTTTATGTCACTGAAAGGAGTACCAGAGAAGTCCATTACCCTTACACAAGTTCTCGACTGGAACACCATTTGCCAAGTGAGAGTTAATGTTAAACTGTCATCAAAGCAGATTACACCGAGCCATGCTCATCAGGGCTGTCTAATTTTTCCATACTTTTACAACTTTGTCATTGACATGCTTTTGGAGATAACTGTCTTCGTCTGAATTTTCTGGAGTTGACCTATTAGGAGATTTATTTTTTGACTTGGAATAAGCCAACGACAACTCTACCAACCAAAGGACGGGTTTACTGCGCAACGGTTCTCTCCGTCGTCTGTGGCTGTGAAATCGACCATAAGAGCAGAGGATATTCGTAGGATACTGATACTCGATCATCGATGCCGCTGAAGCATTGCTCGTATATCCTGGGACGATCGTGTAAACAATAAAGTTGTTAGAACAGGGCACTAGGTAAAGATACCAAATCAAGTGAAGATGTGAATCTTCATCGGTTGAGATAGTTGTGACATTTACTACGTATGCTCAACCGCTGGCTGCATTGACGAGCTGTTTTCTGGTGTCGGAGTAGGTTGAAGAAAGCTGAGGGCAGCCAAACCAAAACATGGCCCAAACCCATGAAGCCACTGACAAATAAATTGAGCCATGTTGGTCATTGTAGACTGTCTGGCTGTAGTTTGCGGGGAAATAGTAACGGAGAATTAACGACTTTGAACAACATGACTCAAAATCGTTTGCAATGACGCAAATGCATCCGTTATTTATGTTACCTCTTCTCAGAATTTCTCCAAACCGTAATCTTTTCGATTACTGCTCATAATTCTACCTCATCTACCACTAAGAGATTTAAATTGATAATTGTCTCTCCTAATGTGGTGTGCTATTGCAACCTAAACTGATCTACGTACGTAGAAAGCTCTACGCTTCTGCTGACTGACTGATAGATAGAGTAAAGTTATTTATAGGCTAGTGATGATGAGCGTAACCAGCAAATCACAGTCTGATGTATAATAGTTCAAAGACCCAACGATAATTATTTTACTCAAGATGCCATCTAGAAATAAATGATTCAGCCCTATCCTTAACATGAAAACTGCGTATTTTAAAGCATTTAATAGTTGTCTCTTATTTTCTCTGGAATTTTAGATTACGTTACTCATTTCGGAACCCACTCGTTTATGATATTCCCACGGTAGTCACATGTGGTTTTTAATTACACTACAGACTTCCTATGTTTCGAATTCTTTCATTCTGTACATTTGTGGGTAAATTGATGTGTTGACGTACTCTGATAAATGCTGTCCATCGTCTGTTGCCAATCGAATGAAAAACATCCTCAATAATCTTGTAAAATGTATTTAAGAACCTTGTCTATTTAATGATGGCATTTAGATGTGTATTGTTATTCTAATTGCTTCCAGCATTCATGCTTTGTTCACTTATTTTCTGTTTCCGTTTTAGGCTGATGAAGTTAAAAAGGCAACACAGATCCGCCGGCCGGTACTCCCCATAACTCAAAGGACCAAACGAATTAAAGCTCATGAACCAACACCGTCTGAACTACGCTACAGCGCTTTCCATGCCATCCGTCAACACAGAGCTAACGCTCGGCTCTACGGAAAACGTCTGAAGGCACGTCGATCAGCCGCCGCAGAATAACTGTTCTAAATAAATTGTTTTCGGTTCATTTTGTTCCATATTCTTACTACCAACTGTTAGTAGGGTTATTGAAGTTCAAGTCACAGTAAAGAAGTCTTTAAGAAGTTAGTACTACTGTTTCGTACAAAATCCTTTCGCTTAGAATTCCTATTTCTATATGCGAGGCAGATTAACAGTATCTGATAGGTCAACCCTCAGAGAATTCAAAGTATGATAGATCACTTTTAGTAGTTGGATTAACTGAGAATTTAGCCAGGATCTGGGGACTGGATACAAACTTATCTCACTGTTCTCAATCTCTGATCGTCCTAGTCTCAAGGAAAAGATAAAAATCCATTTATGACAATCACAGAAAAGTCAGATTAGCTAAGCCAGTGTCTGAAATGTTAGTTTCAATAAGATTTCGACGTTCATTAAGGGTGAACTCGAGGGAACCAATTTGGTTGCAGGCATGGATGTGTAGAGTGGATATTCACACTTCGACAGGTTAAGAACATTGGTATGCGTTTTTGACAAAAGTTGTGTTCCTTGACCTTATTCGACTGTGTCGGTCGTCAGGTTCTGTGGCAGTGTTTGTAATTGAAAGGTGTACCGAGTGAGTACATCAACCTTGTACAGAATCTGCAGTCGAACACTACTGGTCGAGTCAAAATTTATGGTGAACGCATCGAAATTGGTTACTTCAGATCGTGTCCGTCAGAGTTGTACGCCTCCCCTAACTTAACTTTGTTGTGGACATACATTTACAAATAACACTTTGACCGTCTATATTTCTAGGACTTACCTTTCACCAGGAAATTCATTTGTTGACTTGTAATATGCCGATGACATGGTTCTATTTGGTGAAGACCCTAACAAAATACAGAATCTTTTGACCACCCCAAGCAACTATGCTAGTATGTTTAGAATGCGATTCCCCCCCAATTGCGAAATCATGCTTCGGAATTGGCTTGAGTCAACAGCTGAAGTATAATTAAGCCGTGGATTAGTTGGGTTTGTTGATCAATTCACAAATCGGCACCAAAACTTGCTATATGTGTATGCTGTGTATTTGGAATTATATCCAAGGTTCTGGTGCAGTACTACAGACAGATTCCTCGAATGGTTCTAACACCGTTTTTGCTCTCTATTATAGACCTGAGACTACTGAAACCACTAAGCGCTAGTTTGTGCTGGATAGCTGAGAAACAACTCCATGTTGCTTAGTTGTCATGATGTCCAATAATTAGTACTGGTCGTGTCGGTTGATATCTTCGAGAGAAAACTAAATAGCCGAGTAGTTAACAGTGTGATAAAGCTTAACTGCATGAACTAGCAGAGAACCGCGTTTCGCATCCATTAGTTCTGCCTGTGCCATCTCTCGCGATACATTTGAATTTTTACCACACTAGAAGTGGATAGTCAAATCATAGCTTCAAAGGCAAAGTGCTGAAAGCACAAAAGTGCCTTGAAGACAATAATCATTGGAATAAAGTTTTTGATAGTTCTATACGAATTCGAAATTGCGATACATAAAGGTTTGTGATCGATAAAAAGACAGTTTTATTTAACCTAATCTCCAGATGCATCTGGCTGTACTTTTTATATGATTTACACGAACTTATTGTAATCACCAAACAGCATCCACTGCATCACAAATCAATCGTAGTGTAAGCCAAAAGACGTCTATCTGAAGGGCTGTACTGATTATAACATAAGCTTATTCTCAAAAGCCAACTATATAATTCTTTTCAACCAAATGAATAAGTATGCAAATATATTTCCAAAACAATTTATACTATCTAACCTATTGTGATGTTTGAGGTCAACAAAGAATTCCTTTTTACATTATTCTGCACTTCATTCGAAATAGGATACTTCCGTTTGCGCTAACATAGTTTTTCCTGAGTTTAGTACTAGTCCATTATGATATCCTTGAAATTTTTCAGTCAGTTGCAACGTAGAACTTCGTACGTATATACATAAGTTCATGTTGCCATACCAACACATTAGCACAGAGACGCAAATGTCAAATCAAATCCCATAGTGATAGAGATAGTAGAGGTATTAATGGTAATGAAGAAGCTGCTACCTTGACGTGGTGGTCGGGCTTATCTATCGTGATGACCCGACCGAGCTATATTGGTTGAAACTCATGTTCCTGCAGGTCCTACCATGCCAGGCAGGTCGATTGGAGAACGATGAGACTAAAAGCAGCTACCCAAGGTCTGAGGGCGAAGTCGTACTGCTGACTGTAGAGGGGTGTGCCAGCAGTAAGGTGTTTCCCTCGGACAACCAGCATCTGCAGCGATGCTGCCTTCTCACAAGGAAGGAATGGTTAGAAAAGGTCGATCCTAAAAATGTCACACCTCACGGATTCCCGTCTCCGGCGGTAAGGGTGCCCACTAAGGGCTTTCAAGAGCGGAGCTAACACTCAAAAAACTTCTCATAAAAAGGCCGTGCGTGACCGGCCTCAAGCAGTTGTCCCTTGGGCTCTGCGGTCACGCTCCCAGACCAACACTAATCTATCTTCCTTTTCAGGTCCCTCAAGAAACAAGCTTCCACGGTGTGGGCAGCCGGGAAGTGATAACCGCCCTCATACCCGTAACAGCACGAGAGACAAAATTGGTCAAAATCAAATCCTTCCTACACCCCCCCCCTTGAAATTTTTAGATGCATCAGTAATGAAAGGGTTATTAACTTCTTTAGTAGAAAATTAAAAACTAAAGTATTCAAACCTTAAATTATTTAGACCATATTTTAGAAACGAATGTAAAGTACCAACCAATCAGGTTAACAAAAAAGAGCAAATAACTCTTGAAGTTAGGCAGCAAACTGGGAAATCCCAATGAAACTAACAGTTAAGTATTGTTTTAGTTTTTGACCTTTCTATTGACTCTTTTATTTTACTTTCTTCCACTGACAAACTTACTTTTAGTCTACTTACTCTATTCGTCTTGTATCACAGTTTTAATTTCCTGTGAATTTACCTCACTCTTCTCTGTATTCCTTTTCAATATGCTCTTAATCAATAATATCCTGAATTATTTTATTTACACATACAGTTTCCTGTTAATACATCGCACTGATAAACCATGATTGGTAACAAGTAATTAAGAAATTTAAAGTAATTATATCTAAAGAAAGAAATCCAAAAGAAGTAAATATATTAGTAAGAATATTTGGCAATTTACACTTAACTTATATCCTTTAATAAATGAGCGTGTTGTTGACACAAAACTTCAAAACAAAACCATACACAGCACTTAACCGAATCAATCTTCATTAGTTAATATAGGAGATCAAACGTAGTAGTAGTAGTAGTAGTAATGTGAAGAACCAATATCCCTTAGAATGTATCAACAGAAAATCCTGAAATTAAGTGTTCTGATAGAGAATTTCTATGTTTCATTACTTAATGTGAGAAAAGAAACTTCATGGCATAAAAGATTTGATCACAGTTTTTAAACTTATACTATCTTCTCAAATGATTAGTTCGTAGATAAAAGGAAAATGTAAGCTAAACAAATACTAAAATCATTGTTCAATATACAGTAAGACGGTATTCAATCACCTCGTAACCTTCTGTAAAATAACGGAAACAGGTTCAGGTGTCTCGATTTGTCTTCACAAAGTAAGTCAGTGAGACCTTTCACTATCTTCGTCTCTCGCTATTGAACTCGTTCTACTATACCCACTTCACACTTAAAACTGAATAATAATAGTAAAATAATTATAATTTTTAATAATAGAAATTTGTCTCTCTGACGTTTTGTAACTGAATACAAGTCAATTCTTTAAAGTAAATAAATAACAGAAATAAATATACACAAATAGTTTAAATAGTAGAAAAAAAAAAAGAAACATAACAGAATAGTTTTATTATTATCAAAATTATAATAGATCTTCTGAACATGTGTCAATGTGATTTTTTGGTCAAGTTAATTGTGTATGAAATTTCAAAGTGTTTATTTGTGTGTATGAAGATGAGTCATTTCTACAGTTGAAAAATATCTGGAACTCCAAACAACTTTCAACCAAAACCAAAATCAGGATTTTCAATACAAATGTGAAGACAGTTCTACTGTATGGAGCGGAAACATGGAGAACTGCCAAAGCCATCATCCATAAGATACAAGTGTTTATGAACAGCTGTCTACGCAAAATACTTCGTATTCGTTAGTCAGACACCATCAGCAACAACGAACTGTGGGAGAGAACAAACCAGATTCCAGTGGAGGAGGAAATAAGGAAGAAGCTGTGGAAGTGGATAGGACACACACTACGAAAAGCACCTAACTGCGTCACGAGACAAGCCCTCACATGGAACCCTGAAGGCAAAAGGAAGAGAGGAAGGCCAATGAACACATTACGCCGAGAAATAGAGAAAGATATGAGAGGAATGAACAAACATTGGACAGAACTGGAGAGGGAAGCCCAGGACAGATGTTGGTTGGAGAATGCTGCTGGTGGGCGGCCTATGCTCCATTGGGGGTAACAAGTGTAAGTAAGTAAGTAAGCAAGTAAGTGTGACTAGACATGAATAATGAATGACAAGTAAATATGAATAATATTACAATATTTATTAACCAAATAATAATATACTATGTCAAAATCTTCATTGAATACAGTTGATACTTTAAGAGAATTATTAACATTAGAGAGCCACATCAATAACAAATTGAGTAATTTGTTAAATCACATAGACGTAGAACATTGAAAATTGGTTGTCCAAACCAATATATATCCGAATATCTTCAGATCCACATTCTTTTTTACTGACAATATATGAGATAATAACGTACTGATAAAATATTCACGACCAATATTATCGTTTTCAATGAAACTCTTGATTGATTAAAACTTTCTTTGACCATTTGGATAAGAAATGTTTCATGGATAATGAGTTGGATTTGACTTCAATATCATTATGGTTGGTTGTATCTATTTGAGGCTATGTAGTAGTATTATTACTACTAGTGATGGTAGCAGTAACAGTAGTATCTTCCGTAAATGTGAACTGAATAACATTGGAAAAGATCATTAAGAAAGGGAAATTTGTCCGTTTAAATAATCGGCTTCACATTGAATCTAAAACTAATGAGAGATATTGAAAAAAAACAACTAATTAATGACTTGATGAGTGAAGTTAGTGTTTATTCATACCAGTCCTGATAATCTTAATTTACTATGATTCTCTCAAGATAGGAAGTCATTAAAACATTACGGTACCGACATGTTTCATTCAGTGTTTAATTAGAATCTACCTCCTGTTTTAGCCACAATTTGTAATTCCCATATTGATAAATAAAATTTGATTAATTCAGCAATAGTGAAATGTGATTCAGTACTTTTAATGATGAAGGCAAGTGCCATCGAATAAAAAATTACTGAAACGATATACGTTAAACAATAGAAGTGATGGAGGATAAAGTTGTTAACCCACATTAATTTTCCCACATAAGTGGATCACTTCCTAAAAACATTTGATGAAAAACTTTTCCAAGCGATAAAATTCGACCGATTAAGATTGTTTTGATTTATGATCATTATTAGGATGTGATGTAAATGTTGCATCAGGATTGACTTGCATCGGCACCTGAACTAGAGCTAGGGAGTTAGGCAGTTGGGCGAGTCGACCGCTTCACTTGCAAAACGATTTTGAGACATGTCATTGAAGATATCTAACCATAAATTGCTATCATCTCACGGGCCCCAACTAGGTAGTTTACACTTACCACCATTACTCAATCCAGTTGTCAGAGACTTGGTTTGGGCCATATTTTGGTTTGGCCGCCCCCAGCTTTCTTCCAACTATTCCGACACCACAAAACATTGTTCGTTGATGTAGTCGGTGGTTGGGCATACATGGAAAATGGCCCAACCACCTCAAATGATGAAGCTTTATTACTTCATGTGTTGATCTGCCATTCTTACCTAATACTCGTTTCCTAATAACAGCATTGCTTACTCGGTTGTCCCATGATACACGAGCAAAGCTTCGGAGACACCCATGATCGAAGACAAGCAATCTACGAATGTCCTCTACTCTTAACGGTCATGTTTCGCATCCATATAGTAGGACCGAGCGAACTACTGCGTAGTACACTCGTCGTTATGTTAGCAAACGGATATATCAAATGCGCCATAAGTGAAGCAAGTTGCCAAAAGCCAATCGAGCCATCCATTTCCGTGCTGAGATTTCGTCAGTCACCAGGCCGTCAGCACTGATGAGACTCCCAAGGTAAGTGAAGCGGTCTACATGCTAGACTACTTCACTCCCTATTACTAGTTCAGGTGCCAATGCAACCCAAACTTGAAGCAACATATTGCATTTCGAGGGGGAAAAACGCATCCCGAACATGCTTGCATTGTTGCATAGGGTAGTCAAAAGACTCTACATTTTGTCAGCGTCTTCACCAAGTAGAACTGTATCATCGGCTTATTCCAAGTCAACAAGGGAGTCTCCTGGTAGAAGGTTCAATCCTGAAAATTTAAGCGAGGAAAGTGTCCTCTCTAAAAGCACGTTAAATACGAATTTAAACAAAAGTGGAGAAACAGGACAGCCCTGATGAACATTATTTCAAGTAATGAGTTCCGGTGACATAAGCTCTCACTCGACCTGTAGTGTTCGAGTATAGAGCCTGTATAAGGTACTTCTCCGGTACTCATTTCAGTGACAGATACTGCCATAGAACCTCACGATTGACAGAGTCAAATGCCGCCTAAAGATCCAGGAAGACAACAATTGTCGTCACCGAAATGTATGTCTGTGTTCCAGGACCATTCGTAGTGTGGAAATGTGGTTTAAGACCAGTCAGATGGATCTATGCCCAGTTCCCAAATTCTACATAAGATCTCAGTCAACCTAACTGTTAGAAGTGGCCCACCATCCTTAAAAATCTTAGGGGTAAGCCTATCAGGACCGGCTGCCTTCCCTCGCTTCAGATTTCCGATGGCTTTCTCAACTTCGTAGTCTCAGAGGACGCACATCGGTTTGCCATTCAGGTTGACTGAAGATCGTGGGCAATCGAAGTGTGGCTGAAGGCACGTTGAATTGATCCCTGAAGTATTCTGCCCATCGTTGCAGTCTCTTGGATTGAGAATGATTAATAAGACCATCCTTCTCCGAGATATTCACGCTACCAGTCTGATTCTTAATGCCGGTTTCTTTGATAAGTCTGAATAATTGTCTACTGTTATCTATCGCCGCAGCCTTTTTCATATCTTGCTTTCTCTGCCCACCACAGTTCGCGATAATTGTCTAGGCTCTTTATCAGCCTGCGCATAAGCTGAGTCCGCTCCTCGCCGTGTTTAGAGCCAGATGGGATGAGTTTCCGAGCATTTATTAGCTCGGTAGATGCTACCGAAATCCACTGTTTCCCTACAACCTTATGTTTTACCCTACTAGCAGATATCACTGCTGTTTCCACAGCCTTTTAGATATCGTTCCAAGTTGCCTCCGGATGGGAATCATTTACATGACCGCCTAACTGTTTTTCTAATTGCTCCTGAGATATATTCTTGGCTATTCTACCATTAAGTAGACCCCTGGGAGGTTTTCTTGCTGACTTTTTTACGGCTAGTAAGACGCAGACAAATACACGCTCGTACTAGAACATAATCAAAGTCTAAACATGTGCTCCAGAATGAGCGACAATATTCTATTGAGCCTCTCCATCGGTAGCTATTAGCAATGTGATCTAGTTGTGTCCAGCGTCGAGTTGACTTTTGGGAGTCGCCAGGTTAAAACATGTTTTTCTTTATGCTTGAAGTTAGTGTTTGCTAGAAATAGGCGATTAACTGAGCATAGCTGCAGCAGACAGTCGCCATTATCTAATCTTTGAAGCCACATCATAAGATCCACCCAGGTGTCTTTTTTTCAACTAGTCTACCTACTTGAGCACTTAAGTCACCAGCTATTAATACCCTATGAGAGTGCTTAACCTTTCCAAGGTTGAAAAATACTTGTTAAATTCATCTTTTATGTCGTCCGCAATGCAGTCAGTGGGAGCGAAGGCAGAGACAACAAAGAGGCAATGGAGAGTTTCCTTATCTTTACTAATCATTATTGTCCCGTTTAGTCGGACCATACCGTAGAATCAGAGGTAATCTGGTAGTGGCAAGCAACATATTAAGAACACCCGACACATGCATCCTGCCGATACATCACCACCGTTACAGCCTGGTAATGCAATGGATGCATTTATCCAGAAAACCTACTGCACTGAGACAGACGCATTCATTCATATTACAAAACATACAAATCCACAAAGAGCTGTCAAACTCAACAGAAATTATGCAGTCGAGTGGCAAGTTTACCACCCGAGCTGGTTTTCATAGATATCGATAATATAAGAAACATCTTAAGGAAAACATGCGTACAGTTTGAAAACTCAAAGTGCCAGAAAAATCAATTTCCGCTAAAATTATGCAAGTTTTTGATGTCGACAAAAATTGCTCAAATTGGAACGGAATAACATTTCTTAGAAGCAGTAGTGAAAAATCGTTAAACGGCTTGACCTATTCAAAATCATTAGCACTAGCACTTAGAAAATCACATAAATTACGAAATTTTCTTACTGAATCAAGACTGAGAAGCCAGCCGAAAAGTGTAGAGAATGAGGAGAACAGTCCGTCATCGATTAAACGGACAGCAAGAATGATAATTCCCGCTTCGTTTTGATTGGCTAATTGTCGTGGCGGGGTTACGAAACTGTGTCGGGTCAACGAAAACCGATTTACTGTAATTAACATTACTGTTAATGAAAGTGTACGTTTATAATATAAGGTATTCCAAGACCATAACAACAGCAATATAAAAGACATAAATCCTAAGAACATAGTGCATAAAATAGGCCCATATATGCCTTATTTCCCAATTAAACAATAATGCGAAAAAAGGCGAAGTTTGGGAAATACAGGTGACATTGGCTGGGAAAATTTTGCTGTGGATTCAGGCGGAACTACATCAAAATGCCACCTACTTCGCCTAGGCTTCGTAAATAATGAGAGATCTTACCCAAGCGTCTCACAAGATGAGAAATGTCTATAAAATCACACTGATGGTCGTCAAATAGTCTACGTCATGTGTGTAAATGGGCGTTTCTCCTCCATTCACCCCAAGTTCGCGTATTCTATTTTGATTATTCTTGCTCAATTTTAGGAAAACTTTGGTGATACGGCATTGGTAAGTTTTAAGATGCTACTACACGATGAATCATTCAGTTAGTTCGTTCCCTAATCGCTCCAGTTCCTTTAGTAACTTCAATGTTGGACGCTCAGTATATCCTCGTGTTCATCAGTCTGACCTTCCATATATTCATTTGTTTGCAGTAACTTCACTTGGCAATCATGCGCTAAAAGTCATATTGGTCAAATTGGAGTATATAAGCAAGAGATTTGGGTTATTGTTGCTGAAGTTAAATGCTTCAGTCTTATTAAAAATGCTACCATTATCACTTGTATAAAAGTGACACATCTGACGTAGACTGTATAGCCGAAAATAAACTATTTGACGACCATGAAAGAGTAATTTTATTGACCTTCCGCCATCACAGCCTAGGCGAAAAAGGCTACATGTTGATGTAGTTCCGCCCTAATCAACACCAAATTTTCCCAGCTAATGTCATCTGTATTTCCTAAACCTTGCCTTTATTGCCCCATTCTTGTTTAATTAGGTAGGTGCATGTTAGTGAAATGATATGTCAAGTTCTTATTGTGTACATAGTTAGAGGCTTTTTATTGAAACAATATTTTCGAACCCCATTTCACTTATTCTGAAGCCTTTATCTATTTTACCTTGTCCGATAACAATCCCACTGACTAGAATTCATAGTGTAATTAACGGAAAAATTTTAACGACTTTTGTTGAGTCCGTTTAAGTCAGATTATAATAACTACGTAGCTTTCTTATCCAATATGATGGTGTTAATTCATCCTCGAAAAACTATTTTAATAAATACACATTTGTGAAGATTGCCCTGTAGAAATCTAAGAGATTCGAGTTAGCAAAACCATAAGTGTATGCATTTAATGTTTACATACTTTTCATGTAATATTTATTTCATACTGATTACTTTAGGACCCACTAAGTGTTTACAGTAGTCAAATTTAATTTGATCGGAATACAACTATTAGCTGCACTGTAAATACTAAGCATTAAGTTTGTTGATACAGAATAAACCTAAAACTTTCATAGGTTATGGATTACGTATAAAGAGTTCAAACCTATCTAGCAATTTAATAATTCATTGTGATTCAGTGTTCATTCATACATACCTTTTCATCCCGTCGAACTATATTTTTACTGCTCATTCTCCATATCATCGCTGGTACTATATGATACGACCATCATATTAGTCTTATCTCGTGTTGATGTAATATAGAAACTTTTGTTAGCATATATTTGCGAGGAAATACGTTATGACTGACTTACAACTGTGATCTGGATTAATAACCGTAAATGTAATGAATGGTAATACTGTCGTTTACATTAAGATTCTTTATTTAACGTTATGTCGTTATCTAAACTTTACTAAACCCCTCTCAATATTACCATCGACATTAGACCGGTTCAGTTTTCTTTTTGTGCGCTTAACAGTTTTGATTAAAGCATATAATCATTCATTCCGTTTACTCCAGGCAATTCTAAAATCGTTCCATAATGCAGAGACGTCCACTTACTCGCATAGAACTTAGATTACAAGACTTGATGGAATTTAAAAATTTTATTGATGCTCAGTCTAATGGAGACTCTGTAAAAGATGGTAAAAGTACCAAAGATTCTTTTGAAAAAGTACAACTTCGAGACGCAGAAAGACGTAAGAAAAATGGGCGTCATCGCATTGGTAAGTAATAGTAATCTTGATAATTATTAATCATTTATTTCAGGTCTGCCTCCAGATTACTAACCAATTTTAAAGTTGACTGTAAAGATGATTTTATCAGATATTTTGATCAATAAATGTTCAATTTTAATCCTTTTTTGTGTTTTCACTGAAACTAAATACCTACTACTAATCTGTCAATAGGCAAGATTAATAAAATCACCTGTTAGCAATCTACCAAATGGTCCGAGACGTTGGGAAAAAGTTTCCGAAAGACTATATAACGCACATTGTTTTAGCAATTTTAATCACGTTATACCTTCAATAGCCGGTGAACGCTATCACACCTAACGAACAGGAGGTTCACAGTAGGTCTCGAATACCGAAATGTCATAAGACTCATCCACAAAACAACCTATCTCTAGTTTCTTTCAAGTGTGAGGACTATATCCTAGGTTTAGTACTTATTGAACTGTGTAGGGCATTATGGGATACTGAAAGCGTTCTATCACTAAAAGACATTATTGTTGCGCTTGCTTTAAATGCGAATGTCGAAAGTGTATACGAATATCACTGAGCTACCAGTTGCCTATAAACTATGTGCTACATTAGACTACGCAGATTATCTATATCACATAGAAAACTGACATGCAACAAGTAGACTGGGTTTTGCCCAGGTTACCACGTCTTACTCTCTCTTACAACAGTTGAATACCGTCACACATCGGATTTCTGGTAACAGATTTGTAGGTTCGTTTAAAGGAAATGTACTTTCCTCTTTTCTATGTACTTAAGGCCGTCATCTTGAAGAATTTTCTATTCTATTAGGATGATAATATGCAAATATTTTTGGATTGTAGTTCGAAATGTCAGAGTGTATGGACAAGACTCCGCAATCTCCCTATTTTTTCCGTAGCTTTATCAATGGTGACATTCTCCAAACATCTCAGAATAAAGTAAGTGATTATGGCACATATTTATTAGCTAGAATATGAATCTATAATCGTTAGTGTGTATACTATTTCCCTCGAAGCACAATTAATAGAACTGTTTTTGTATCGTTCATCAGCATGACGAGTGCATTTTGGCACCAGAGTGCAAAATACATCACAAGACTGGCATAAACTCTATACCGGTGTTTATACTCGCTTATGAGCTGTTAGAAATCGTCAAAAAGTTCATGAGCTGAAATATTGATGGTTCAGGAAATAAAATGAATTATTGTGTAGCAAAAAGCAGTGTTTTACGAATCGAGTCCACACTAGAAGCTGTTGCAATATTATCTGGGTTCTGAAAAGTTAAGTGTAGTAGCAGTTATCTTTAAGCCTAGACATTTTAGCTTGGTATTTTCGGAGGAAGAAAAAGTTCTAACAGACTATAAAGGTTACCACATCAAGACACCAAAGAAAAGAGTCCTTAGTAAGTGTGAGAACTCATTGCCCTAAGTTATAAGGCTAAACTAGTTCTATTTATCTGGATCCCAGTAGATAGTCACTTATGTGCTGTCCAGCTAAACGGGACAGTATACCAATGACATAGTTCTGTTGGATCAAGACGGTGACGAAATGCACGGTCTTCTAACCACTTCATGCAACAATGTCAGCATGTTCGGGTTGCAATTCTCCTCCTCGAGACGCGAAATGTTGCTTCAGGATTGGCTTGTATCGGCAACTGAACTAGTGATGGGAGTGAAGTGGTTGAGCGTGTTGACCGCTCCACTTATCTGGGGAGTCTCATCAGTGCTAATGGCCTAGTGACTGACGAAATCTCATCACGGATACAGAAAGCTCGATTGGCTTTTGCCAACTTGCGTCACTTATGGCGTAGGCGAGATATCCGTTTGCTAACCAACGGACGAGTTTGTTGCGCAGTAGTTCGCTCCGTCCTACTACATGGATGCGAAACATGGCCAGTCAGAGTAGAAAATATTCGTAGGTTGCTTGTTTTCGATCATAGGTGTCTCCGAAGCATTGCTCGTGTATCATGGGACAACTGAGTAAGCAATGCTTTTGTTAGGAAGCGGGTACTGCGTAATGATAGCAAATCAATAGGTGAGGTAGTGAAACTTAATCAGTTAAGGTGGTTGGGACATGTACTACGAATGTCCAACCACCGGCTGCCTCGGTGTGAGATGATGTCTGGTGTAGAGATAAGTCGGAAGCTAGGGGCGGCCAAAGCATGGCAAAAATCCACGAGGTAACTGACATTTGGGCTGAACCATTTTAGTAAGTGTAGTCTGCCAGGCTGGGGTCCGCGCGACAATAGTAACTGATGGTTAGAGACCTTGAACGACATGGCCCAAATCGTTTGCAATGGCGCCGGTGTATCCATTCTTTGTGTTTTCTCCAATTCCACTCTTTTGAGTTCCTCATCAGCTCTATCCTTCTTCTTAAATTTATTACACTTGAATAATTTCTTCGAATTATAATCTCTATTACGGCTAATAATCCTACTACATCTACCACCATGGGATTTGAAGTGACAATTGCATCTCTGAACTGATGTACTTACGTACGAAATTCTACATTGTAGCCGACTAACAGAACCATTACTCTATTTAAGTTACCAGCAAAGGTCCTCGACAGTGTTGTCAAACTGAATGAAAAATCCAGTAGACACCAATTTCGAAACTAACAAGCCAAAATTCCATAAGGATCGATTGTGTACCGACTGAAGTGCGACACTACGGACCATTGTCGAACAATCATTTGAATGGAACGCGTTACTAAACAACGACTTCCTTGACTATCAGGAAGAACCTTATAGACTGTTCTTGAACACTATAATATAGATGAGAGGATTACTACTATTATACGGAGTTCTTACGGCGAACCACACTGCATAGCTTTGAATGGAGGTTAGCTCACAGATGCAATCCAAGAGAAAACAAGGTTTACTCTAGCCCTACTACTAGTCAACTGGATCATAAAGACTTCAAAATCTCTGGAGAAGCATGGAATACAGTGGACAGCTCGGATGCAGTTAAACAGTTTGTACTTATTATTGATAAAAAACGAACAAAATGTCTAGTACTTTCTGTTCTCTGTAAGACTCACTGATATTAGATGATGATAACTTTATATCGTAAACTGACCGAAATTTGACAATGTATAGTAATGGATCGAAATTTAATGGCTGGACAATCGACCACGGAACCTAGAGGTTTTAAATTTCATTTTGCTGCTTAAACACATAGGGATAAACATGACTCAGAAACCTTACGATAGAATGAAATAGGTCTAAAAAGACTACTAGTTTTCAAAAGTTTCTTGGCTGCTTTTGATGTGATAAGAACTACTTTGTCATTAAAGATGTATTTTTGTCATGAGCTTAGATCGTATCGAAAACTAATCGAAATAAATATGTTCTGAACAGTTGTTTCATTACAATTTACAATTATCAACACTGAACACCTAGAAAACTATACAGAGCATTAGATTTTCACGATTAATCTTCTGGATTCGTCAGCATCTCTACCTTTGTCTTTCTAACCTTATCTCACTGAATTATACTTCTTGAATAATATCTTCAAAACCTAGTCTTCTTCATTACCATTAATAACCTCTACTATCTTTATTACTATGGGATTTGATTTGACATTTGCGTCTCTGTGCTAATAATGTGGTATGGCAACATGAACTTATGTACATACGTACGAAGTTCTACGTTGCAACTGACTGACTGACTGATTAATTTAGTGTTATAAAAAACAGAAATCATATTATTCTCATCATGATATCATACATTCACTTTATTGGCTGAAATTAAATTTATTTTTGATCAATTGAAATATTACCCAACGGGGCAACAATATAACCTTCCCATTTATCAGGCACCTGTTGCATAATATCATTAGCTAGATTACAATTATTTACACTTTGATTATCATCAGATAAAAAATTAAAATCCACATTCATTTCATCACATAAACTAATCATAGGTTCTGTATTCTCTGGACTCCAACCATGATTATTAGTTGTTCCATGAAAAGCTTCTTTAGTTAACAATGAATCAGCATAACGTATAGCTTCTTCAAGAATTCTCAAATTTTCCTTAATGAATAAAAGAAAAACAAATTGAGATTAAAAAGAAAAGGAGAGAACTTCTTTACAAAGTTTCGTTCTCTGAACTGGATCTTTCGGTTGTGGAGCTTTCGTTGTTCTTCATCAACAACATCATCAGCACCAACTTCGGCAGATTTAACGTCAACAGCGACCAATGAAGATCGAGGTTAGCAGAACAAGCCTACAGGTCAAACGTGGAGAAATTCGAATACTTCACTTCTACCCTAAGTTTGTGATGATGATGTTGTTCAGAAGAACAACGGAAGCTCCACCTCAGATAATGAAACACCACAACAATCAGGTATTATTCAGATTGAAATAACCAAATGTATCATAATGAGTTCAATGATTAATTTAATACAGTAGTTAAAGAGAAAAACAAACGAAATCTATTTTATTTTAGTGGTTTTTTTTAAATAAAAATAATTTATATAAATCACGCAGAAAGAGGTTGAACAAATAAGATCAGTAAGAATTTTAAGCATTAATCTAATTAATGGTTGGTTTATTATTTATCTCAAGACTTAGAGTTTATCGATTTGATTTTATCTAGGGTTATGATATATCTATATATCATCCTTCTAAACAGTTTCAAACATGGATAAAACAATTATCTAATATACTGTGATATACTTTTGTTGGGAAGTAGAGTGTAGAAAATGGTTTGAATTATTTTTTCTGGTTAGGTTTTTTTGGCAAGTTAGATTTCGACGGAATGGGGTCGCCAACCCCATGTCCAACCCTCCTCCTTTATCCGGGCTTGGGACCGGCAGTAGCCCCTAAGGTCCTACTGGCGGAACACATTACGCCGAGAAATAGAGAAAGATATGAGAGGAATGAACAAACATTGGACAGAACTGGACAGGGAAGCCCAGGACAGAGTTGGTTAGAGAAAACTGGTTGGCGGCCTATGCTCCATTGGGGGTAACAGGCGTAAGTAAGTAAGTAGAGTGTAGAAAGAATTTGACTCTGACCAATTTCGTCTCGTGTACTTTTATGAGTATGAGGGCGGATGTTACTTACCGGCTGCCCTACACCGTGGCAAGTAGGTCATTTTTAGTAATTAAGCGCAGATAGACACTCCATGAATCACATATATAATAAACTGTTTCATAGTGCAGATGAATTCACCTAATTAGCCTAAAATTGTGTTCACCTATGTTGTCATTATTGATATCTGGTCCCGGACTAAACAGTTAAACTGTAGGTGTCAGAGTTCATATCACTTAGTAGTCAATCTAACGTTATGATATATCCCTACAGTTGAAGTTAGTGTGACAAAAAGCATTTCGATTTCAGGTAATTACAATTGCTATATTGGAAAAATACATTGTTTCAACAGTTATTCAGTGGACTAATCACTTTCAAATGACATAAACTCAAGTCACATCAAAACAAACCTACTTCTCCTTTGAAATTTATTAGTGATACTTGTTCAAGTAGTTTAACTACGTCTGGATTTAACTTTGTGCGTTTTGGCAAAGCTCTATGATTAATGTAAAATATATCCGGTTCATCAGGTGATACACAATCTTTTGATTCAGATACCTAATCAAATAAATAAAATAATAAAACTGATTGTGAATCAATTAAGTTAAGTGTATTAATAAACTATATTTATTGTTATAAAATGTTCATCTAGGTTTTGAAAAGTTAAACATAGTTGTAAATGACATATGAAATAACTTTATATATTACTTACTTACCTACGCTTGTCACTCTCAATGCAGCAAAGGCCACCGACCAATGTTCTGAAACCTACTCTGTCCTAGGCTTCCCTTTCTAGTTCTATCCAATTTTTTGTTCATTCTTTTCATATCTTTCTCTATTTCTCGGCGTAATGTGTTTCTTGGCCTTCCTCTTTTCCCTTGACCTTGAGGGTTCCAAGTGAGGGCTTGTCTTGTGACGCGGTTGGGTGCTTTTTGCAGTGTGTGACCTATCCACTTCCACCGCTTCTTCCTGATTTCCTCCTCCACTGGAATCTGGTTTGTTCTCTCACACAGTACGTTGTTGATGATGGTGTCTGGCCAACGAATACGAAGTATTTTGCGTAGACAATTGTTAATGAATACTTGAATCTTCTGGATAATGGATTCCGTAGTTCTCCAAGTTTCCGCTCCATACAGTAGAACTGTCTTCACATTTGTATTGAAAATTCTGATTTTGGTGTTGATTGATATTTGTTTTGAGTTCCAGATATTTTTCAATCGTAGAAATGCAGCCCTTGCCTTGCCGATTCGCGCCCTCACATCTGCATCGGATCCACCTTGATTGTCGATGATGCTGCCAAGATATGTAAAGGTGTTAACGTCCTCCAAGGCATCTCCATCAAGAGCGATTTGGTTGGCGCATGTCGTGTTGTATCGAAGAATCTTGCTTTTTCCTTTATGTATGTTGAGACCTGCTGCTACACTGGTCGTCTTCTCTTGCATCTGTTGTTCCGTGTGCGATAGAAGAGCAAGGTCATCTGCGAAGTCTAGATCGTCCAGCTGCATCCTGACTGTCCATTGGATACTGTGCTTCCCTCCAGATGTTGACATCTTCATAATCTAGTCGATCACCAGGAGAAAGAGAAAGGGTGAGAGTAAGCAACCTTGTCTGACACGGTCTTCACCTCGAACGAGTCTGTCAGTTGTCCTCCGTACACGATCTTGCAGTTTAATCGATCATAAGAATTTCGTATGGTGTTGGCTATCTTCTCAGGCACACCGTAGTGTCGAAGAAGCCTCCATAGTGTTGTCCTGTCCACGCTATCAAATACTTAACTTTATGTATATATTCCATGTGACAGATTGAACTTTTGGACTCCCACTATGTTAAGTTCCATGTAATTCCACTGAGTAGCTCAGTAGAGATGCATATGATCTCCACCTATTTAAATTTATTACAATAGTTTATGAATCTTAGGAATGAACCAATATCCACTTAAAATTAACTAAAATGTTTAACTAAACGCTCATATATATCCAACGTCCACTTATTAATTTACGATATTTGAAAATCAAAGAATAAAATCAATTCCAACTGAATGAAGACAATAAACGTTAGGGAACTCATTACTAATCAATATATCAAATACGACTAACCTTAAGAGTGAAATAGCTACAATTGATTTGTCCCTATGTAGTAAACAATGTCATGTTTATCTAATCTTTTAGTGTTGACTGAATCCTATCGATCAAGTTGAAATGTGGCCACTAGTCTTAATGACTTCATACCATGTGCACTATGTTGAAATGTCAGTTTGTTGTAGATATTGGTCAGGAGACCCTGTACTTATATTTCGCGCTACCTTGCACCCATCAGCAAGACGGATTCCAAATCTTGGAAGAAGTGATGCTCCGTGTAGGATTCGAACTTGATCGATAGAATTCGACCAGCATCAACGACGACCTAGGCAAACATGATAATGGTCAATATTCAATGATCAATCACAGTTTCATATCTACCAAAAGAAATAATGATTATAATTGTACATATAAAATTGGCTTAAAACTTTTAATACAACCGTTCGTGTCATATCAGAAAAATCAGGTATCCAAACTCTTAGCTAGTTCCTGAATTCGAAATTTGTGCTGCTACAAAATAGGCCAAATAAATCTCTTTCTTTAGTTATTAGTAGTTTTGCTCACAGATTGTTGCTCCAAAACAACCGACCTGAAATGTTTATTACTTCTACTCTAGATTCACCTAGACACTTAAAAACAATCAAAAGTGACATATCTAACAGTCTAAGGCGTTTATTTAGAGGTTAGTCTTAGCTGAACCATGAAATGCTAACAGACTGGTCGCTGAGAAAGATAAATACCAGAAAATTATGAATAGATGCATATTACACGTGGTTTCATGAGTCTTTCATCATATGAAAATGACCTAAAAGCTATTTTGATTGAAACTTCGTTTTAACTACGTTGAAATATTGCTCCTACGGAATAAATTTAAAAAATATATATACGTATGTACTATCTAACCTAACCTCTAGGTCAAGCCTAGTCCGGTGGGTTGTGCTCGAGTCGTGGCTTAATGGTAATATATACTATCTAATGCTACTCTGAAGCATAAACGCATGATTAAAACAAACAGATGAAATTCTTACGAATATTGCATAACATAACGACTACTATCAAGCATTACAACTTACAGTATTCACCTGTTCTAATTCATGTTGTTGCACCCCAACATCGAAACGTTTCCAAATAGGTTTAGATGGTACAAAACGATATACAGGATTTTTTACTACACTCTTTATTCCTTCATCAGTACAATCCTTGTCTATCATTGTATTTGGCAAGACACTTTTCAATGCTTCTGTTGAGAAACATTGTGTTTGTTTTTTACCAATATACTGTGCAACTTGACAATAACGATATTGTGATAATATTTGATTAATGTGAGTTCTATGTTTGGAAATCTATTAACAACATAAAACGTATATCCATTTTCAATAGTATAACCATTAGTCAAATAGTAAATTGATGCAAAATAACATAAATGTTTCCCCATTTATAAACTTAAATAAAGAAGGAACTAACATCGTAGCAAAATAATGTTAATTCACTTATTTCATGAATTTTCTTCAACTGCTTGCAACCTAAAATCATAGTATTGATCATTAAAATAAAACTAGTTTACACACTTTTTATCAAAAGTATCATGAATGACCTGATCTAAAACGTGGAGATAAAGTGATATTAAGAGATCATAATAAGAAGGAATCAAATCCACCTACAAGCTTATCAGTAAAAACAGAAAGTGATTATCATTAGTAGGTGTAGGAAAACTAGTTTTCTCGACAGATTACGATCTGATATTGATTGATTAAATATCAAATGTTAGTGTTTGCCTAGGTTCTCTCTTTAGAATTTGCTTAGTATCTCGTATATGACAATTTTCTCGGGAATCATTGCTTCGAATTGCAGCTATATAGAAGCGTTGAAACTTTCAAGATTCAGAAAATATATAATGTGATTCTATTCTACAAACGATATTATTCACTGACTGTAACTGATATTATACATGAAAATTTTTCCAGATTCCTATTGAAAGAATAAATGTTATCTCACTGAATTACACTTGTTGAATAATATCTTCGAACCTTATTCTTCCTCATAACCGCTAATACTTCTACTATCTCTACCACTATTAGGTTTGAACGGACAGTAGCGTCTCTGTGCTAGTGCGCTATGTCAACCTGGAACGATGTACATACGTAAGAAGTTCTACGTTGTAACTGACTGTAACTGATATTATTTATAAAAAATTTTCCAGATTCCTATTGCAAAATAACTGTGGAGCAAAAAGATCTGATCTTGAACATTGCCAAACCAGTGCCCACCTAAGACGTTCAATCAAACTATTATAAGCTAGGTGGACTAAGTCGTGTAACTAACTACACAGTGGTTCAATTGTTTACTCGGAAAACAGGCATCTCAACCAAAGTTGCATTCACTATAAACACAGATTGGGATGAAGTTATTAACAAAATAAAGCTAAACAATCGTTATAGAATGGTTGTGGAGATTCTAGCAATTTCACTAAGGTTAGCAGTGCATTAGATCCCAAGTCAGTGATTATTGAGAGACCCTGAAGTTTCGAGTTCGACCTATGATAGGATTGTGGATGCGCATTCCTCAGAAGCCCGGTACTTGAAGATCAGTGTTGTCCAATACTTTCTAATTCTCATTAGTTGTCTAATCAAACTCAGTCTGATATGTAACTTTAAATCATAAGAGACACACAGTATATTTTATATCTATTTGGTAACCAATCATAGTTAAACTTGAAGATTGTAGTAAAAACAATGCATCCAACTGAATTATAAACCAGGATATAAATACCAAGATACTGTATGTAGTCATGTATACCTAAAAATGCCAACAGATTTTAGAAATGACCAAGAATAATTGAACGAAGAAAATAATATTAGTTTATAGATTCATAAACAGTGGAAATATGAAAATATAGGCATGAGATATACAAACGTTAGTCCTATCAAACTAATTGTTTGTCTTTATAGTCATTACTAGTTAGCGACAGTTAGCTCAACTTCAACGTAATAATTACGAAAAGGAAACAGAAAGTCTAACTTATGATTGTTACAATAAATAATAGACACCAGAACCGAGATAATAAATTAACTCAGTCTTTATGCAAAGAAATCACGTAGAAAGGGAATTCAGCTTATTTTCCAATCAGCTCCAAGAGTAACCCCCATTGAAATAAAAATGATCAATGGTATGAACTTCAAGAACTACAAAGAACGTGGTGGTGTTTTGTTCTCTGAGCTGGTTGTTTTGGTTGTGGAACTTTCATTGTTCTTCTGAACAACATCATCAGCACGAACTTCAGATAGAAGTGAAGCATTAGAATTTCTCCACGTTTGACCTGTAGCTTGTTCTGCTAACCTCGATCTTGATTGGTTGTTGTTGACCTTTGAGCTGTCGTTGTTTGCAACTATGTTTTGATTGCCTCCCTCTTTTGATCTGTTTCTTGATCCAGTGTCACCTATGATTCTCCTGATTGGTTGATAAATTGGGTCAATGTCGATGTGTTTGTTGATTGCTAATTGACCTGAGTGCCAAGCTTCTAAAAATTCTCTAGTGTTCTTTGTCCTCCCCCTACCTAGTATTTCCACGTTGTTCCAATTAAATGTGTGTCCATAATTGTCGGTGTGTATTGATAGGTAGGGGGAGGACAAAGAACACTAGAGAATTTTTAGAAGCTTGGCACTCAGGTCAATTAGCAATCAACAAACACATCGACATTGACCCAATTTATCAACCAATCAGGAGAATCATAGGTGACACTAGATCAAGAAACAGATCAAAAGAGGGAGGCAATCAAAACATAGTTGCAAACAACGACAGCTCAAAGGTCAACAACAACCAATCAAGATCGAGGTTAGCAGAACAAGCTACAGGTCAAACGTGGAGAAATTCGAAAGCTTCACTTCTATCTGAAGTTCGTGCTGATGATGTTGTTCAGAAGAACAATGAAAGTTCCACAACCAAAACAACCAGCTCAGAGAACAAAACACCACCACAATCATCCACCTGAGCTACAAGTTTTCTCCACCACTACAAAGAACAACTCATGGAAGTAAGAACAACCAACATTAGTATATGGCAAATACTAGTTCAGTCATTAGTTATTCATTTAAAGTTTACATTGAAAAATACTGTACCTAAAAAATATCAATAATACCAACGTAACTACTACTAAACTACAAACTAATATAATTAGCTTTTACAGAACATCAACATCAAAACTAATCAATACTATTGATCATTAGATAAAATAACTACTTATAAAATGCTACACTTAAACAATAGTCCGTATTCAAATATACCAAAGATTATAAATTTGGAAAGAATTAACGTTAAGCATTACATATTCTATGATTATTATTACTATTACCATTCCCATACACACACACAAGCACGCACGCACACATACGTACATACACACTTAATTCTAATAAAAAAGCAGTAGAAAAGTTAATCAATATACATACATTATAATAATTCATAACCTATAATAAAGCAATTTATCTAAACAATATTATAATCGATAGAAAATACACTGCATGTTGTTTTAATTGCGCATGAAAATGAGGGAAAACGAGGGAAAAAAAAGAAGAAATGAGCTAAATGAACCAGACCATGATGTGATTAGTTCTGTTTTGTTTTCATTGGCAAGCAAGCAAGGTACTCTTGTTGTGTGTGTGATTTTTTCCCAATCCCACCTCTCATTTATTGGCATCCCAATGATAAAATAAACATTATGAACAGTGTGTGTGTGTGTATGTGTGGATAGTAAGTAGTAAAATGGTCAAAAATTTAAAAAAACAATGACAACATTCATACCATGAGAATATGTAAATATAAAAGTAGAAAGACAAAACAGCTAACAAGAGAATTTTGAGAAAAAAAATGCATGCACAATTTTTTTAAATGTATACAACAAGAATTCACTAACTGATGAGAATAAAAGCTGTGACAACAATACAGAAAAGTAGTGATATATATATGTATATATATAAGAGATGAAAAGAGAATAGACATTGACAGCTGTATGATGAGTCTTCATATTGTGAAAGTTTGTCTTTTCATCAATAATATTTATGATAATATAGTAGTAATAATAATAAGGCACAGAGAGGTATGTTTGATTTTGATAAATATTTATTATATTTTTCAATGTAGTCGTCATATTATTTGTTGTCTCAAAGTGATGTAAAACAAGCATATAGAAAATACATAACATCATATTGAAAATGATACAAGTATAAAATATGCAGAAATAAAAATAGAAAGCAAGAATAAAAACAAGCCCAGAGAATATCACGATTGGTTATTTGTCATTGAATAGGCAAACGAATGAGTCCCGATTTGATTTGATGTTCTGTTCTGTTCTGTTCTCTTTTCTTCATCACTCACTCACTCAATCAATCAATAACCATTCTCTTCAAATGTCGGATTGAGAACATTTGTTGTTGGTGATTCGAAAATAGGATTTTCAGCCATTTCCCAACGCATATTTTCACCTTGTTGTTTAAAATTGGCTAATTCACGACGATCATCAATAGTGATGACTAGTTTATAGATTAATAAAAGTATTAATCCACCAAGTACAATGGCTGCAATAACACCGAGTACAATGTAAAGAATATTGATGGTTTTTGTACATTCACTTTTACGAATAATATTTAAATCAACCTATATTTTTTTTTAATGCAAAAAACAAAGTTTGGAAATTGAAGAACTAAGATACGCATTATTAAATGAAGAATCGTTGAAAAAAAATTGGGCGAGAACCAAATTGTTGAGGACGTTAAAATCCCCAGAACTCACTTGGAAAAGGTTTGAATTTTGAAATGTTTATGTTTTCGAGCGTATAAGACGCTTAGTGTTAATCATCAGCTTACATTTCCCACTCGGAAAATCCTTGACTGTCATTGGTTGATGGATTATTTTAGTACGCTATTTTGTGGCTCTCCCAAGGGCGTTGCAATCATTGTATAAATAAGCTTGATTTGTGTGTTAAGCGATCTAGTATTTTCTGGATGCGCTTGTAGAATACACTCTCTACGCCTTATCAAGACTTCTTGCTTTAGTTAACCGTGGCTGGGACAACGGATTAGAATAGCCTATCGTGTCACAAAGTCATTGCTTTCGTTCCGTTACTGAGTAAGGTGAACTCGTAATAGCATTCAAGCATATCACAAATAGACTTCATGTATTTTACTGCCAACTCAATGGATCTTGTTGCAAATTTAGGTTGATGAATGATGCCATATAAAGGAGTGTATCGCAAAACATCCCAGGGGATCTTTAGATTAAGAGATGGATGGATACATGACGAAGAATCAAACTACACTGAATTATAAGAGTCGTTCTTGATTGTGTGTGGATTACGCAGCCTTTAACAAGCACTTTCGTTTCAGGTTAGTTAGTTCCCAATGACATACAATTTAGCATCTTAAACCTAAAAGCAAGTTGACAGAAGTTAATGATTTCTTCATGATCATACGAAAATTCCGCCAATCTGTGAAATGACACTCACTACATATTGATTGTTGGTTGGACAAAATTCTAAATCAGTTGTCTCTCTCTCTACATAATGCCGAAACATACTGACCAATCCTAGTTTCTTAACATGAAGAAAATATAAACAAAATTCTACCGATTGAATAAAAACGATTATTCTGTAACAAATATATATATATATATATATATATATATATATATATATATATATATATATATATATATATCAATATATATATATATAGGTTTTGTTAATTAAAAATAAATTTTCTTAACAATAACCAATTGTGAACAAACGAATTAAAAATGTTCTTCCTTCAAACAGAATATAAAAAAAAACCTAATCAATATACATTTACGCCATTGTAATGACACGCTTTTTCTCTCTCAAATAAACTATATATAATATAGGCTGTCTGGTAGAATTTAGAAAAAACTGAATAATCTGACCGTAAATATTATGCTGTAGAATCCAATGTACACTTAGCACAAGTCAGACGAAAAATTCACTAAGATTAGTAATGAAAAATTATTTGAAGTAATTAGATGTAACATTTTTTAAAAATTTATTTATGAAAAGAATTCCTGTGTGTTCAACTTGCTAACATGATTATTTAGACTGATAGTCAGTCAGTCAACAACAACATAGCGCTTCGTACGTACGTACATCAGTTCAAGTTGACGTACCACATTAGCACAGGGATGCTGTCAATTCAAATCACATAGTAGTAGGGGTAGTAGAAGTATTAGCAGTAATCGGAGAGATTACGGTTCGACGATATTATTCAACAAGTACAATCTAGTGAAATAAACTTAAAAGGAAAAAGATAAAGTGATGTGGAATTTAGAAGGTTAATATTTGAGAGAAAACAAAAAATGAATGCACCTGCACCATTGCAAACGATTTTGAGCCATGTCATTCAGGGTCTCGAACCATCGACTACAATCATTCCGCGGACCTCAACCAAGTAGTCGACACCTACCAACATGACTCAGTTCAGTTGTCAGTAACTTCATGTATTTGTGCCATCCTTAAAAATCTCAGGGCTAAGCTTATCAGGCCCTGCTGCTGTCCCTCACTTCAGATTTCATATAACTTTATCAACTTCATAAAGACTCGGAGGACTCACATTGATTTGCCATTCAAGATGACTGCAGATCGTGGACAACCGAAGTATGGCTGAAGGCCAATTGAACTGATCCCTAGAGTGTTCTGCCCATCGATCCAATCTCCTGGATTGAGAATCAATCATAAGACCATTCTTTTCCGAAATAGTCTCACATTTGGGTTCCTAATACCAGTTTCCCTGATAAGTCTGAATAGTTGCCCATCGCCGCTGCCTTTTCCATCTCTCACTTTCGCTACCCACCATTGTTCGCGATCATTGCGCCGGCTTTTCATCAGCCTGCGCCTACGCTGACTCCGCTCCCCATCGTACTCAGAACGAGACGGGATGAGTTTTCGAGTATTCAACAGTTCTACTGATGAATGCTACTGAAATCCATCGCTTCTCTCCAACCTTGTGGTTTATCCTACTAGCAGATATCACTGCTGTTTCCAAAGCTTTTTGGATATCTGATATAACTGACAGTTGTTTATTTTTTCTCACTGGTTGAATGTTTACGCAAGAAAATATCAGAGGAATTACATTAAAGTCATAGATAAGTCAATTAAGAAATGGATATGACCAATCCTCTGTGTGAGATAAACAGAATACTTCGAAGAAAATCTACAGATTAGGAAGATCAAGAGAGAATACATCACACAACAGCTGTAGTGTAGTGAATTTTGAACAAAGTTACGGAAGTTTCACAAACACTGAGATGTTAGGTCAGATTAATAGTCAATTACTTTAAGAATATAATAAATAATCACTTTTTGTTTGGTGATTAGACATACGATCTCAGTCGACGAATCTTTAAAACTCTAATCAACTAATTGACTGACAAAAATAATAAAAAAAGAGAGAACATTCATCACAAACTGCTAACTTACTTTACGATTAACATAGATTGCATCAGAATAACGATAAGTGAAAAATACTCGACAATTATCTTCCGTGTAAATAATACAAAGATTTGAATCATCTTTTTGTTCACTAACTTCAACTAATTTCACTCTACTAGTATCAACCACAGTTCCATTACATGCCGATTCACATTGTGCAGCCGCAATTGCATATTCACGTGATGAATAAACCAGTGAATCCGGTTGATTTTGATTTAATTTCAATGATTCATCATCGGATTCCATGTTGGTTTTTGTCATTTTATCATTTTTCGATTTTTCCGCTATATCAAAACTTTTCACTAATGAATCACGTAAGCATAGAACACATTTTTCCACATCACGATCTGTGCATAGTGCGGATTCACCACCTTGAATTTCATTGCATAAATGACCAGTATAGCCACTGTTACAAAAGCATTGGCCACAATCGCATACACCACGACCAGAACATTTAGGACCCTAGACAAACAAACAAACAGACAAGGCAAGTAACGAAGTTTTATTTCAAAAAAATAAACCTTTACCCAAAACAACATTCATATAAAAATTTGTGTCAATTATACTAGTTCAGACATTTTAGACACATGTAATTCATTGCTAACCTAACTAACAAATTCTACAACTACATGGATAACTCTATTACATATGACACAAGAATAAAATCAATTCAAGTGATGTGGAACAATTAACAAGTAGAATAAAGGGAACTTGAAAGGAAGGCATTAAATCACATCAAAATGTTTTACATTAATTAGTAAAAGCTCTAGTTGTTTTTAACTCCGACAAACAAATGATTAATGTCGAAATTCAATGCAGTAAAACTGAACTAGTTATAGTTTGATTGTATGCTTGGAACTTCTAGTCTTCATTACTAAGTTGATTGTATAAATTTAACAAATGAGTAAAGAAAATAAAACATCATTTGTTTGAATGAGCAGAACATAAGACTTCCAACTCATTGATATATTATTTCCTAAATCTGAAAGTGTCAGTAACATTCATATAACAACTTTTAAATCATTGAAACGACTCATATATACTAAATTAAATGTTAGTGCTTATAGTTGATCAGAGATTAGTTGAAAAGAAAATTGGTATCAAGTTCAAGTAAGAAATGTTAAACTTAAATGCCCTATAAGAAAAATTTGTAATGACAATAAACTCTATGATATTGTATAACCAGTCAGTCATATATTAAAAATAAATAAATTACAACATACTGATGGATTGTTTGGATCAATGCATTGTTTCTCACTTTCCATACAATCACATCGATCTCCTGTATAGCCTGGCTTACATTCACATGTACCATTACATTGACAAGTTCCACGTTGTGGTCCTCCACAAACTTGATTATCATCGGAAGCACGTTTACATCCATGTCGGTCACATTCACAAAAAGTACCTTCATAACGTGCTAGATTACATTTACACTTTCCACATACACAACGACCACGACCTGAACAAGGCTATATAAAAAAATATATATATTTTTAAGAAAAACAAACTTTTAACATGATAATTTTGTAAATTGAATCTTAAAATCACTAAGAGATTTGCGTTGGATTCAATTTTAAGTCTATGACTAACAGAATTTCTACCCATCCTAAATCTTATCCAGTAAAGTTATGTTAATAACTAGATATTTTACTTAGAAAACAAAGTGTCATGTCCTAGAGTTGTGTAATTTGGAAATGTGCTTCTGTACAAATTTTACCACAGAATTTCACAGTTCAGTCTTCTAATTCAATGCAAACAGAGTAGAATTAAGAAAAGAAAATGACTAGTCGGACACCAGATTATTTCCAGAAAACTAATTCGATGAACTTCGATTCATACAGAGGTTGAAACATAAATAAACGAATAGCTTCAATTTTAGTGTTCAAGGAACTTAGTATATTACTAGTGATTTACGTATCAGATAATGAAATATTAATACAGTATGAAAACTAACGGCATTACTCTGACACCTCAGAAGAAAAAGAAGTGAAGTTTGAGCCTGTGGTTTAACTACTGAAAGTTTGATGTTTAAATTTCTGAGCTGTTGTGACACTCAGATGACTGAAGCTCATACACTAATGTAAGGTAGGAAAACAGTGATCAACATGAAATCGGAACCCGATTATTATTGTGACACTCAAGTGCAACGAGAAACCAGTAATTTAGATGTCGCAGTTTTTCAAATGTCTGTTGTAGGTATCGATCATTAATAAATGTGACATTACCTAACAAACTACCACAGTAAACACAAAATGATTTAGCAACTACTTTGAGCTATAGAAAAAAGACATGGTCGTCCTATCCACATACAGGTATATACACTTCCTGATTATGTTGTAAGAGCAAGAAAATCAGGAAAAAATAGGAAGTTGCAATTGGCAAACTAAATACAAAATGTGTACAAGCCAGCGGTTTACATGTATATCAGATATGTGGTATGACGACTTGAACTGATGTACGTACATACAAAGTTCTGTGTTGCAGCTGACTGACTGACTGACTCAGATGTGTATAAGATAAGATCTTTACAAAATGTATTTTCACCATCATCTGATAGTGAGCCTTATTTGTCATTTCTCAAACTTGAGATAAACTTTACTGTCGTTCATCACTTTGATCTTAAACATGACAATCATTCAGAATGAAGCTGGAATTATTATTTTTACTAGTGCAATCCATGGCGGACGTAATGTTTCGTTCTGGGTGGCTTTTCATAAGCTTATCAATGTCACAGCGGTGCTTGGTGTTTTACTGGGTCGGGATATCGTAATTTATGTGACGTTTGAAATGTTCGGTAAAATTTTTGCTGACGATTCATGTGTTTTATTGGGTTAATATACACTTTCTGGCATGCATACTTATTTTATCTAATAATATGCTAATCTACTTGCTTTCGAGTAAATTTTTGTAGGTACTGGCAACCGTAGTAGATATTCTTCTAGGTAAATCAGTGCCCGTCGTCTATCATCTGTAACTAAACAATATATGTATACGAAATCTAAGCCCAGGCATGTAATTTATACGAATTCACCCATCTTATCAAACTATAATTTCTATATTCAGTTAAGGAATGGATGAAGTTTAATGAAAAAGAGTTTGAAAAATGCCACATCAAGAAGGAGCCCATAGCTAAAGAATGTAATGTAATGGTTTAGCATACCTCTTTAACTCCATACTCCGTACACTGCGCCAGCATAGCAGCATCTCCTTCGGCAGTAGCCTCAGCAGAACATTCACAAAAGTCACCAGAATACCCAGACTGGCATTTACATTCACCACAATGTAAATGTCCACGTAACTGACATCTTGCAGAGAATGGAACTAATGAACCAGGTAATGGCAGTTTCTCACAATTAGGACAAGAACAAGCTGTCTGAACACCAAGTACTGCCTATAGGAGTAAGAACAATTAGAAGGTTTATTGTTAAAATCTATATTGAAAGTCATAAAAAGATGTTAGAAAGTCTTAGGTTGGCAAAAACTAAACTATACTCATTATCTTGGGCAGGCAGATCAGATTTGAGATAGCGCCTTTTGGACTTATGCATAAAATATAAAGATCAATGAACGTGACATAATATTTAAGTGTAACTGTTCAAAATACCTGCCTCCGATGTGAACTGTATTTGAAAAGATTTGATTTGTTTCAATGAATAGTCAACAGTATTTGTTCGGACAAGAAGTATCATAAGATTCCTAACCTGAACACCACCAATACTGAATCCCCTTAAGCCTAATAATCAACCCTAATTCATAACTCTGGCCCAAATCCTAATGCACAACCCTAACACTTTCTCATTCATCAAAAAACAATCCAACATATTAAGGTTCATTAATCATGTCAAAACCAATTATTTACTATATTTTATCTTATTAAGGCACAGAGTTAATGGCATCTAAATGTTTATGCCCCACAAATTATTGAATTTGTGTCTGGGCTGAGACACTACTCAACTGACCGAATTGTTGCAGATGGTTTTCTTCGAAGAGTATTCCCCGAGCCTTTGACCTACAGATTTAATCTACAAGACAGTGGAAAAATCCCAGGAGATGCAGTCCCATAGTAGCCAGTGATTTTACCAAGGTCCTGGAGCTCATATCCATTATTGGTTTGCAAGCAGGGTTTCCCAACGCCTCTAGGTGGATCCTCCATGCCCACTAAACCGGTTTAAGGGCCGGACACTCTTTTCTTCCCATCAATTTCGTGAATAACACTTTCATCACGAGCAGCAAGTGTGGTGTTGGTTGTACTGTAATTTTATTACTTTTTACTGTTAACTGCCTCATAGTTAAATACAATTTTCTGATTAACTGATAAGTTACTCAAGGTCTTCAGTGTAATTTAGTTTTACAACGTCGTCTAACATGGGTTACCACAGTAACAAAAACCTCTGATCACATCGCCACTTCAAATAAGTTTAGATAATAGCTAGCTATAAACAAATTATTTGACTGAGATAACGGTACAGAACATAATAGATTTTAAAAGACTCGCCAGCTGAATATAGTTGCATCCCAGGATGCGAATATGCCAAAACAGACAGATCAATTTCAGTCCCTAATATCAGCAATGAGATCGAAATCCTTATGAATAAAAACTAAATTCCTCTCCGTTGTACAAGTTAGTGGTTGTCTGGACCCAATACCTTAGTGGATAGCCCGTTAAGCATTTGAAACAAAGGTACTGGGCTCGAGTCTTAATATGAACAGAGACATTGAGATATAGATACATTTAGCTAACGACAACCAAATAGAACAAAACGTGTTCTGGATTTCACCACAAGCCACTAATCAACTCTAATTAAACTATTGTGACTTATGAGAAACTAAACTGATCAGTTTAAGTACTTAGCATCGAGAACTAGAAGAATCGAACACTTACACTTACAACACTTACATTATCTAGCCGGAAAAAATGAATGTCATACAGCACACTAATAAATAAATTTCACTTATATACATACTTGATCTTCTAATGCAACCATTTTCAAGGTGACTTTTTTAACACCTTCAAAACATCGTTTAGCTTTGACAGATATTTGATAACTTATTTTACCACCAACCGGATGATCATTACACACTGTTTTCTTTGAGAATTCGTTTTCATCATTACATTTGGAAAATACTTGAACCTGAGAGGGAATAAATAAAAAAAAAAGCCCAGTAGAAATAATCTTGATAAATAATGTTGAAGGCGTAACAATCTTCTAGATAATAACAATTAATTATATATTTAAGATAAACTGTAGGTCCTGTCATCAAACCGATACATTGAGTTCTCAGACGAGACAAAATATGAGTTACAATCAGCATATTCAGTATAATAACATCATCGAATGAAACAGTAATTGGTAAAAATTTGATTTTGAAAATCGTGAGGTTGCCTCAGATTTCTATATATGCACTACCGAGATGAATAATATCTACAACATGACCTAGGTCAACAAATTTCAACTATATGTCATTCAATTCATAGACTCAAATGTGGTCTCTGAATAATAATTATTCACTGTCACTAGTCAATGCTGTTGTTAGGAAACGAGGACTACGTAGGGATAGTGGACCAATAGATGAAGTAGTGAAACTTCAGTAGAGGTGGTTGGGACATGTGTTACGAATGCCCTACCACTGACTGCCTCAACGAGCTATATTTTGCGCTGTGGGAGTAGGTCGGAAGAAAGCTAGGGACGGCCAAGCCAAAACATGGCACAAATCCATGATGTCACTGACAAGTGGACTGAGCCATGTTGGTAGGTGTCGACTGCCTGGTTCGGGATCGCGAGATAATAGTAATCGATGGTTAGAGACTTTGAATGACATAGCTCAAAAGCGTTTGCAATGGTGCAGGTGCATTCATCCTTTGTGTTCTCTCAAATCTTAACCTTCTGAATTCCTCATCACTTTTTAAGTTTATTTCACTAGATTCTACTTCTTGAATAATATTCTCAAACCCTAATCTCTCCGATTACTGCTAATAATTCTACTACCTCTACTACTATATGATTTGAAGTGACAATTGAGTCTCTGTGTTAATGTGGTATGGCAGCCTGAACTTATGTACGTACGTACGAAGTTCTACGTTGTAAGTGACAGACTGACTGATACTTGAATAACGCACTAATCAAAAACCAACAAAACAATTTCGAGAAAGTAATGCATTTACGGAAATTAACTTACCTCCAGATAATCTGCATCATAAGTAGCCATTAGCTCAGCTTTATTGACAATTTTATCATAATTATCACGCAACAAGCGAACAATGTTAGTCGAACTATCAGTTAGAATGCCAACAGATGCACTTGGCAAGAATTCGGCCAATTTATTGTACAAACCGTGTAATTTACTATCAACTGCAAAGATTACACTGATATCAGCTTCAGTTAGAACTTGAGCAATCTATGAAAACAAAGAGATAAATTCAATTGTGGAAAATAACAAGTTTTGAACTTGCATGCTAAATAACTACCAAAACGACTTAGTTCAAAAGTCAATGGATTCATGAACTGTTCAGTCTTTTCTAGCATTTTTCAACTGCCATATGATAACATCCATTGAGGTTGACGGTGGTTTGACATGTCTTAGCCACCTGCCTATGGAAATTTACAATCTGATTAATCGAAATACAATATTTGCCTAGTAATATATTTCTAACCTTAACACTCCTCACTCCGTAATGCCAACAAAAAAATGTTATTAACGATCCAAATATTAAGAACCTTTTAGTGTCCTGAACTTTCAAAAGTTATCGCTTTCACAGCTAGAAAAAAGCGGACTGATAGACAGTATACCAGTCCTTCGTTTGGCAAACAAATTTTGTCCACGACACGGATGACAGGAACAAGAATAAACCATTAGAAGTTTATGGATCTGTGCGAGATTTCCGCACACAAAAACCCACCAGTGGTGGAATGGTTGGTGTGTTTCTTATCGTTGGTCTGAGTATTGATGTAGACCAGTTGTGGGGCAAAATTTTGTATTTAGAGGATTAAAGGACTGGAGGATTTCAACATCCCTAACAAACATGTTTGTTAGTCCGTCAGTGAATCACTTAGTAGGAGACTAATCTCTGGAAAGCCAGATGGAGAAATTTGAATAACAGTCCAGAGAGCTAGTTGTTCCTGAAAACACCACTTTAGAACGCTAATTCAGATGACAGTTCCCTTTAACCTACTACTGGAGTAAGTATTCGAGCAAAGAACCTTTTTACGGTTAATTTACTTCGTTGGTATAATTTTTAGTGGCAGATTGCTATAACAGCTTTACCTACTATATATATAAAATGCTAGTACAGTAACGACATCATTTGATATACAAAATTAATCTTTTATGAGGAGAGTTTGTCATCAGGAACAAAGAACAACATGTAAGCATTATGAGCGACTGTAGGAATTTCAGCGAAGATTATTAACAGTGAAAATTTTTTCCTAATAGTCCATTTTCACAGAATCAACTATATGAAATCTACTTACCTCCCCAACGCTAGGATAGTCAGTTTGATCAGAGTTATGCCAACCGAGATACTTGAGCGAAGAATTGAATCGATCAGCCTGATATGTTAGTTGACAGGTAGTCGGAGGAGGCAGTATTAATCCAGCGATCCGACCATCACCAGCTACATGGAATCCACCATCAGAAGCAAACAGTACAATTTTCCTGGCACCAGCACGCCATCCAATAGCTTCACCGCATCGAGCAACCTGAAGTAGTGCATCCATACCACCCTCTGGGCTATCTAGATTACCTGAGGGCTAGCAAACAACAGATTTGAAAAAGAACCATATATTATCTGTTGACTGACTGAATGAACGACGCAGTAGTGGAATAATCCTCAATAAAACATACGACTTATCATCATTACTACCCTTGAAAATGTGAATTTTTCTGAAGAGTAACATTTTCCGTACTCTGATCAGTTTATAACAAATCCACCTAAATTTTGACTGAACAATATAATGGTTTACAACATCCTTACCTTTCTGAACGACCTTCTTATTCCAAGTGAAGTACAGTAACTTCAAGTGGTGTGAACAAGTTGATTCTTCTCAAAGTATCAGCAAAAACTTTAATACATTAACTAGTTTTTTTCAATTTAGGTGAGTAACCATGGAGTGCAAAATGCACTTGTTAAGAACGTGTTGCATTCATCATTCAAAATAGTGACTTTTTAACTTTAATTTACTCTCTAAGTAACATAAGACTGGACATGCCTCATTCTGGATAAATTAGTATTATACTCTTCTTGCTAAAGCAGGGATGCAAAATCACTACAAATTTAACTAGAAAGAGACGCAGTCAACAGTTAAAACTTGTGCTTAACACCACTCTTAGTAGTTACTATTATTCACATAAAAGTTACTTCTGGCAACTGATTTTCAAACATCAGTGATGACAGATCATAAACAAATTTATAGATATGATAGAACTTACACGTGCTACTTTGGTTTTTTCTCGAAACTCCTCAAAATTATCAGTTAGTGACAAAATGTGTTTGTATAAGAATGGAGGGTCACAATGGAGATTCTTAGTACCAACATTCAAACATGGGTTTCGAAGGTATTCCGGAGTTGGCACAACAAAAGGAAAGACTGGTTTGTCTACAAACGCGCCAAATCCCATTTGTAATTTTTTTGTCACGTTACGCATAGTTAATACAATATCGTTAGTCAAACGAGAAACTGTCTCCAAGTCATCAATCATTGTATAACTGAGATCCGTCAGAAAATAAAGGTCAACGGGGTAATCCGAAATAGACTGGAATGTAAAATTGACCATCATAGTCCCTCCAGGTCTGACCTTTACTGATTGTGACCGTGGCGTAAGCTGTATGTCTTCAGCTGAACTGGATTGATCAAGAGGAACTCCATGATCTGAAACAAAATATTTATCATGGAAAAATTTTTAGTCAAAGCAACAAACGAAACTTACTAAAGTGTTAAGGATTTGGGATGATAGAACGATTTTTGGATCATAAAAAATATGTATGCATTTAACTTAGTGACATTTGAAGATTGATTTGCATGACGATTCCCAGTCGATCTTGAATGCACAACATGCACAACTGTAGGAGATGTGTAACATTTTTTCGACTAGAATACAACAGGAGTAGATACAAAACATACATTTCTACGAGGAAACCGGTTTCGAATCACAGATAACACGGAGTACAAATGAAATAGAAATCTTTTTATCGTGATAGGTGCCATTTTAGCTACCATTCAAGTAGTAGTCCATCCAAAGACATACTAAACGTGGAACCTAGCATGAATGAATGTCGATCTGCGTTTTCATATTTCACCAGCACAAAGAGACTAATATGTTCAGAGGAAGGAGAGTATTGTAAAACCTAATGAAAATCTAAGCACAAGACGCATTCTAACAGGAACAAACAAATTAGAAGAATACGAAGATAGAAATGACACATGAATGACTAGGAGATATAAAACAATATAAACTGTGCCACTCACTTAAATAGCATCACATAACGCATCGCTAAACACATGTCACGGCATGTTTAGGCCCAAGAAGATCGGATGAACGTTGTGGTAAGCTCTGTCTTAGAAACTAGAACGTGGTATAAACCTGAGATTTAAGTTTAACTAGTACATTTATCGAAATTCGAGATTATTTGTGAGGAATTATTTAAGTATTCAGGTCAAAACCAGAATTTTTGAAAAGCAAAGTTGGAATACGAAAAAAAAGGCTTTTGTAGACTAACGAACTAATCTCTAGTTACGTTTCTGACATTCTTCTGTTTAACAACCGAAAATCGAGTATTACACACAAGCATTCAGAGCCTATTTGAAAAAAGACTTAAAGGACAGGATTTAATTAACCAATTTTCGGAATTTCAAAGCAGCTATAAGATGAGACTAGCTACACCATATCGATATGCAGAGTTATACAGGGCTAAAAGTGACTTAACGACAACCTTCAAACTTCTTAATAATAATTTTGAGTGATAGACACTCATTTTCGATTTTTTCGAGACTGGGGAATATGCGAGTACACACCAAAGACGTCTGTATCTAGTTGCTTACCAACTAAATAGAACACATACTATAATCACCAATCAAAGAATACTTATTACTCCAAAATGTAGTTAAATCTCCTTCAGTCGACTTGCTCTTATAACTTTCCAAAGAAATACAAATTTAGAGTTTACTGCTTCTGTGAGAGTACGAACATAAGCTGACCTACCTTCGGGTTTCTCGAGATGAATGAGGAGTGCTTCATTTCAAAAAAAAAGTTAAGTAAAAATAAAGCGCATTTCAAAGCTACATTTTAAACCACGTTACCATATATATGAAATGAGCGACCCATGGATTACGTACATTAATAGACAAGGAACTTACCCAAGACGACGGACTCGACATTCTCTATACTGCTTTCTGGACATCCACGAGCCAGTAGAACTGACGACGGCGCACACCGAAACCCTGGACCTTCTTTCGTATCATCATATTCATCTGCACTACACCACGCACATGATGGGCGTATACCCATACATTCATTACAGTTTTTTGCACGGCTGCAGCTTGACTCTTTTTGTGCATTTTGAGAGTCGAGTAGAAACAAGAGACAAACGACACAAGGAACTACACGAAAAGAAAGTAGGACCATATTGCGCAAGATTTAGTTTTGGCGGAAAATTAATTCAATATCTAATATTAGAGACAATTCACAAATGCAACAACAGAAAGCTATAAGATCTACATTAGTCGGCCTAAGTTGTAGTTCGGTGATACTTTGCCTGATTAAACTTCGAAAATGTTACGAAATCGTAGTATGAATGACATGGTTTGTGATCGCAGTGAATAAATCCTGATGGAATATGTAATTGAATATCGCAAAATTAAAAGAGATTTATAGTTAGTTAATAACAGGACCGAAAAACTTGGAAATCTGTCCGTAATATTTGGGAAGGAGACGCTATATAGATTCATAATGACGATTGCCGGAAAAACTATGGCGAAACCTGCGCTACCACTAGATGCCGACCAAGAATATACAAAATGACCTAGTGCCTTTCTTCCCAAATGCATGAGATATGCATCACATATCCCTGATTTCATGTCCAGTTGCACAAATAAAATAATTACCTTATACATGGAGTAAGGAGAACCTGTGTAAACCATTCAAATTTATAACATGAACCAGTTAGGCGATTCCAAACTTTACTTCAATAGTGACACCAACCTTTGACAACGACTGGTAACCATGTCTTGTAGCACCACAGAAATCAAGGTTGTAAACACGAATTTTGGAGGTAGGAAATTAATGGATGGAAGTTCTTCTTTGTTAGTCTAACTTAGTGCATAAACCAGCGTTAACAAAGAGCCAGTGCCTATGCTCTACTAGTAAATCTTCCTATGGGAATTGGAGTTAAATGTCTCATTCAGTTCACTATTTACCTGGTAAAAATATAGTATAATCATCAGTATATCTGTAAGGATACTATTCTGGTTTCCTAATATCTTCGTAATTAGTGTGAAAAGCCGTTGATTAGCTTTCTCCTGTTTCTTGGGGTTAATATATGATTTCAAATCTTTACAGCATCAATTGCGAATGGTCTAACCAATTTACCATATTAATTCCCGTCAATGAGTAGTGATTTCACTTTTACGAATAAAAACACCACTGGTTAAATAGAAAAATTCATTTTTAAGATCAATTGTATCGTATTATCGAATATTTTTTTATTCATACTCTTGTTTCACGCAATGACCTCTGCCCAATTTTATATATACTGACATTAAACTGCAGTCCTGTAGACTTGACTTTCAGGTTGCCATCTTGCTTTAGTTGCTCTGTGCCTTCGCTTATTCTCCGACACGTCTCAGTACTTCTTGGATATCACGAAATCGCCAGCAAATACACCCATTTCATCTAGGATTTCCGTTTTCTTTCTGACTGTAAAGGATCTAAGATAACCCGGACTTAAATGATACATAGACATGTTCACAGACTCTCCACTCGAACATCTGACTGGTGAACCCGTTTTTCCTGAAGAAATCATTTTTCGGGAAGTCTACTATAGATCATTCCCATTTTTGTTGCTCCAAATCAATTGATGCCTGGTGATATATAATCTTAGAACCAACGTTACGAAACAGCTGACTAACAGACGAGTACCGAAATGCATTTGTATTTTATTCACATGACAATATGTATTGGTATACTTTTACGAAGAAAACACAATTGCTGAAATGTAAACATTTATTGTTATACTTAATTCTGACAACAATTGATATATAGTACACCTTATGTTTATCTGGACTAAAGACTACCTCTCTCGCGCCAAGCGTGTCTCTGCCTTTCGGCTTTCTTTCCTGGCTCGTTTTTAGCCGCTAATGTACCCTAGTCTCGTGATTATTTCGTTATCACGAAGCTAGCATTAAATACCCTTCTTCCTCTAGAATCGTCTTTTATCTGATTACTAGATTAACGGGATTTAGATTTGTTATCCCACGAAGTGGTATGTTTAATAGGTACCCCAACAACTCCATGCTTTATCTCATAAATTCCTCCTAGCCACCTGAACCTCTCGAAAAGATCCCATCGGTGACTAATCGTATGATATACCACATAATCACCCGCGAAACCTTAGTCATGAAAAATTGTCGCCGACTGGCACTGGAAGAATAAGTTATCGCTAAGCGTGTGTTAGGATTTTCGATGAATATCCTAAGAGAATTATTTTCGTAAGTCTAATTGTATTGGTCAATTCCTGCTGGTCAATATTATGGTCGTCCTAACTATCAATGTTGTTTCTTATTTGACCTAACTGTATAAATATGTATTATTTGTAAAGCTTATTATTCATTTTGTACTTGACCCAATGAAAAACTTCATCGGACAGTGTTTCGTCCTGATATATTGGGGATTTGGGAACGGTATTTGCGGTCGTACTGGAATAACTGAATTTGGTCAATCGGTAGGATCTCAACTAGCTACATAGCACATTATGACAGCGTGAGTGTGGCAATTTCCTTGCGACCTGTATCAATCGTCCTTCCCACAATCCTTGGACCTCCCTTCCCTCTACATGGTTCTCAAGGACGTTGGTGTTAGTTTGAGACCATGAGGCTACTACAGCTACCTGTTTTGATAGCTGACCAATCCCCCACATGAACGGCAACACTCAAGGACACGACCACATTTTCTAAAATCATTCTGGTACGAGCATATCACCAAACCTCGTTCGCTCCTGACGATGTCAGGAAAATCGCTGTCGCGACTCCTTTTGGTCTTTTTGAGTTCCGACGAATGCTATTTGGCTTACAGAACGCTGCTCAAACTTTCCAAAGGTTCTTTGATAGCATAACACAAGACTTTTATTTTGTTCATGTCTATACTGATGATCTGCTAGTCACATCATGGAACATAGATTAACATTTTTGGCACTTAACACTGTTATTACAATGTCTTTCCGATAGCGGAACAATAGCCAACCCAGACAAGTACGAAATTGGCGAGTCGGAACTGAGATTCCATGGCTACTGCACTCAGCAAGTGGGTATCCTACCATGTGAGGATAAATTACACACAGTAATGGAGTACACTCTACCTTCCACAACCAAGGAACTAAAGGAATTCTTCCGTTTGGTTATTTTATACCGCCGTTTCATTCCACAAGGGAAAGAACGATCACGACCGCTAACCGACTTACTTCGCGGTAATCCACGTAAACTAGAGCTATACGATGTTGTGCCTACTGCTTTTACGCAGATAAAAGTGTCTTTGGCCCAGGACACACTCCCCGCTCATCTTGACCCATCAGCCACGCTAGGCAGATATTCAACTGTATGCGTCACGACGTTGCGTCTGACCAGGGAATCGTTCACATCACGGAGCAGTGATTATTTTTGTATATCAGATTACATCCAACAACTAACTGCATACGTGCGGAAACTGCTGCCCTTGTCAATTCGAATACAGCATACACAGGTCGCCCTCCTTTCAAAAACCACATACCTGTTCACATGTTTTCATGCTAGTAGATTCGGTATGTACACCTTTGAAACAGCCTTAAGAAGGAAATATGCTCGCGATTTCCGGTTACGAAAAGACCTTCAAGGTTTAATCGACATGGTTGCGTTGGTATCATCGGCAATAATCGTCTCAAACTAGCAGAAGTCGATGACCGCTCCTTACCTGACATCAAGAGACAAAATGAAAGACCCATCCCATCCTAGAATCACCCATCTCGTTGGGACCCCATGCAAGACACATCCCTCTCCCCATTCTCACACCCCGGTCAGCAGCACGCATCACTCGCACTATCTTCGAATGAGACTTCATTCTGACGTCCAGATCACAGGACCACACCGTCCTTGACTTTGGATGAGATTGCAGTCTAAATCTCTCAACCACAAGGTACGAACCAGACAAACATCCCACGTTCCGGCCGCCAGGTACATGTACGTTTGGCGTCTAACCTCCCAATAAGCATCGTTTAGGGTGTAAGACTCTATACATTACTACAAGCTTGCCACAACGTTTTCTTTTTTCTTGGAATTTATTTTACCCTGGGATTACGCCTCCGACCATCGCACTTCCGCTATCGTCGATTTCACTCAAGGTTGGCTACAGATCGTCTGGTCAGTGTACCTCGTCGATACTCTGGTTACAACTATATCTGCCATATGAACGGTCCGAACTCTGATTATCATGCTCGCTTCTGGTTTCCCGGCTCAACTTGGTTTCGTTCATATCTGCAGCTTTTTCCGGCCTTATAAACGTTTTGTCTTAAGGTGCAAAATTTCAATAAAATAAAAACCAGCAAAGAAGCCAGGACCAAGTGGAATATTTACGTGTCTGAAGAAAACAGACCGTTCAAAAAATAGCCTTTAATCACCTATTTCGATGTCCATTAATCCAAGTGGGCTATAGGCAGACTTGTATCTTTCCTGTTCTGGTTTTCGAACTTCTGGAAACTTATGTCTTCTTTTGTTGATTTTGCATGCTCTTAGGTGAGGTTCTGCTGTATACCAGTGATGACCAACCTTGTAAGTAGCATCTACAATATTGCCGCTGATGTTCAAATTAGCGTCAACTCATTCCTGCCTTAAATGTGAACTAGAAATATAATTCAATCATCCACACCCAAATACAGAAACCAGAAGGTACCGATAAACTTAAAGAGTTTCGATCGCAAAAGCCAAACAGATGACTGCTAGTCGTACTACTATGAATATCTCGGATATCTTTATCACAAAACTTATCTCGGCTAAAGTGACCGGAAGAGAGTTCATGGATATCAGAAGTACAGTAAATGTTATGTTTGTTCACCTCAAAATAGTCCTCCAATAAATATTTCACAACGAGCTTGCGCTAAAGCAGGAGAAATAGGTTATAACCAGGAATCGCATAAAGTTAAACAAGGTTTTTGTTGATCAACGAAATATGGAGAATAAACATCGGTTTTAATTTAATTAATAAGGATAGTTGTTGACAAACGGACTACCAGCCTGAACTTATTTGATAGCGGATTTTGAGCTTTCTTGCAATGGCCTCGATGATTAGTTCTGGAGGGAGTAAAGAGGCAAGTCATGTAAACACCCAGTGGTTATTTAAGGTATGAATGCTCATTAACAAATCCATGTTGTTCAGGAGTTAGCAATTTTATAATTCTATATGACTTAGCAACTAAGTCCGAATTATTTTTCAAGTAAACTAATCACTATGTTGGTTAGACTGGCAGATCTGCAGTTAGACACTTTTGTCTCTCACCATACTTAAGTACAGGGCCAACTATAGCATCCTATCAATCCCTAGGGAGTTGAGCCTCGGAAAGTGATATGCTGAATAGTGTAGCGGGTGGTTCTACAGTAGTGTCCTCTTGGGATGACAGCAATTGTGAACCTAAACTACCAGGAATAGGTAACTTACCCGGCGTGAGGTTAACTTTCAATTGAACAGCAGCTTTTCCAGACACACATACTGTCTCTATAGCTGGTATCTCGGTGGTGTGGTTATACAAAGTGTTGATGACATTATCTATTGAGAATACGTCGCTGAAAAATTTTGATCAAGTTTTAGCTTTGACCAAATATAACTCAGCTAACATATCTGGGGAGCGGAATATATTAAGGTATTGAAGGGCACAGTACTAATCCATTAGCAATCGAGCACCATAAAATCATTGGATATAGGGACATTTGTTTCAAGGTTATTTGCAAGCCAACGATTCAAAGGGTGCGTTCGTAGAGTGTGTGTCTCTAATTTATCGGTTGCTAACAGATTTTCGATTGTTTCAATTCCTCATTTTGGTCATTGCCTTTTGTGATAGATTGATCTCATTTTGGTATGTTAATGTGTTGTGTGTGCTGCCGGGTTTCCAGTAACCTTTCAGTCATAACGCCTGCATACTTTTTTTACAAACGTTTTCACATTTTTTGGGCTTGGTGTAGGAGTAATTGATGTTACTAGGATAAAGAATAGTGTCTCACCATTGAGCATCGATTCTAATCTCCATATTGAGATATCAGCTCAAACAAAGTCTATCAAGAAATAGTAAAAGAAACGTCAATTCACTCAACATTCGTACTTATTTCCCCTGAATTCTTCGTATAATACATATTTATATACTGCTTCTTGATTCGGTAGTTTTATTATGGGATTTAACACAATAAGAGGTTCGAATAGGCTGCCCAGGAACCCAACAAAATTTTCGTACCTATATCTAAACTAGTGTACTTATAAATCTGCGCTGTCGGCGCAGTACGTGTGGTTCCACTATTCAGTGAAAATCTGGAAAAGAATGTTTCCGAAAAACACATGAAAAGACCTGAAATAATATTGACGGGTTTTCTGTGCCGCGGATCCCTTTATGTCACGATGGTTAGCATGCAAGTGAAATGGATTTAGGTTAGGTGTTTCCGATGTTGATTCTTTTACATGTATATTCTCTAAGTGGTTTTGACGTAAAAAATGCCATTGTTATCTCATCCTTATTCTTCTCCTATGTCTAAGCAGACTTCTAGAGCCTAGATCCCTAGACATTTTTGTAGCTCTTACATTACTCAGTGATCACTGATTACTACTCAACTGTCCCAGTTGATTAGTTTAACTCTTGTATCTGTTCAGTTGCTCTGTAATATCAGTAACATTTGCAGAATAACTTACATTCTATTAATAGTTTACATCAAGATACTTGTCCCCCTGAAAATTTTGTCTTGTAATTAATGCGAACTTTGGAAGCATTATACTGTTTCATTGTCACGAGAAAACTCATTGTTACCCCTCAGAGGGTTCTTAGTTTAAGTTATAATCAGTAGACCAGTCTAATCTTTCAAACAGCCAAAGCATAACCATTCTATGATTTGAAGAGTAGTTGGTGTTAAACCCTTGTAGTGCCTCAATTAGAATGTCAAGTGGTCAGAATAGACACTATGCTGTTTTAGTATCAGCATTAAGTAATATAATTATATCGTATTACAAAATTGTTTATCATTACTTCAGAAACTGGGGGTTTTGCGAATAATTTGTCATTCTGGAAATCACGAGAAGTAGACCTGTATATTCTGACTAACTGTCTCTCGTATGATCTGACAAATGTCACCAAAAGTGAAAAATAAATCATTAGCGTTTCGCCTCTCCATGTCGACATCCCACTATAGTTGTATTCTTTGACCTTAAAGCTGCATTCGTCTCTGTCGATCGTGAGGTTCTGTCGCGATGTCTGCCACTAAGATGTGCTGAGGAAGTACATTAACCTTATACAGGCTCTCTACTCAAACATCACTGGTCGAGTAAGAGTTTATGGCAAACTTTCATCGGAATTAGTTACTTCAAGTGGTGTGCATTAGGGCTGTCCACTCTCCCCATTCTTGTTTAACTTTGTCGTAGATATGCTTTAAAATTTAACATTACCTTCGTCTGAGTTTTCAGGGGTGGACCTTCTACCAGAAGGATCGCTTATTGACCTAGAGTATACTGATGATATAGTCCTATTCGGTGAATACGCTGACAAAATGAAAAGTCTTCCGATCACCATAAGCAACAAGCATGTTCGGAATACGGTTTCGCGCCTCGAAATGAAAAATGTTGCTTGAAGATTGGGTTACATCGGCACCTCAACTAGTGATAGGGGGTGAAGTAGTGGAGCGTGTTGACCGCTTCACATATCTTGGGAGTCTCATTAGTACTGATGACCTGGTGACTGACGAAATCTCAGCACGGATACAGAAAGATCGATTGGCTTTTGCCAACTTGCATCACCTATGGCGCAGATGAGATGTCCGTTTGCTAACCGAAGAACGAATGTACTGCGCAGCACTTCTCTCTGTTCTACTATATGGATGCCAAACATGGCTGGTAAGAGTAGAGGATATTCGTAAGTCATTAGTATTCGATTATATATGTCTTCGACGCATTGCTCGTATATCCTGGGACACCCGAGTAAGCAATGCTGCTGTTAGGAAACGAGTACTAGGTAGGGATGGTAGGTCAATCGACGAAGTGGTGAAACTTTATTAATTGAAGTGGTTCGGACATGTGTTATGTATGTCCAGTCGTGGACTGACTGGACGAGCTATGTTTTGTTGTGTAGGAATAGGTTGGATGAAAGCTAGGGACGGCCAGACCGAAACTTGGAAGAAGTCCAAAAATTCACTGTCAAGTTGACTGAGTCTTGTTGTCAGTTGACGCAGTTGCATCCACTCTTTGTGTTCTCTGAAATCGTTCCAAGAACTAATTTAGCTGTTTCTAGATATTTCATATCCTTTAGTTGAAAAGTATTCTCTTTAGCGACTTGATAAGAGTTAATGAATATGGCTAATCATCTGAAAAATATTAGTGGCTATACACTAGACATATTAAAGACAATAAATTTCGACTTACTCTGCTAGACCACTGAAGATCTCGCCAGTAAATTAAGTTTCTGTCATATGTAAAATGGTCCTCCATCCGCCTGAATTTGAATTTTGACATTTTCTAAGTCTGTCCATAACCGTAATTTGCTTGGAATTTATGAACTTAGTAGCTTATAGTTCTATCATTATTTTTGTGATGTTGTGGTAAAAAGTCAGCACCAAGTCCCAGTGAGATTATATGACTGACTTGAATCAAGCACAACAAAAGTTGTAACAATGCCTAAATTATCGGGATTTTTTCAGATGCCTACAGTTTTATTATTCGCTACTGAGTCGATAAACATCTGTTAGCATATATGCTTCTTGTGTGAATCATATAATTATTTGAGGAGGTTTCACTTTTACTTGAATTTTGGTAAGACCAGCACCCAGTGGTATTCAGGTACATCTCTATAACCAGTTACATTTGACGACAACTTGAATCCACACAAAATTGCTTCAGGTCGTGTGTTTTCCACAATAATCTAGTTGATTTAAGATGGAACTCATTTCAATTATGCGTATTTTGTATAGTCTGCTATCAGGCTGTGAACAATATATTCTGAGTGCCTGCCTGTATTTTGTAGTGAATGATTATTTTGAAAGGTTTATGTCGCATTTTCGGAATGCAAAGTCTTAGCAGAGGGTTTTATATCCACATAGCTACCTAGTTTATCTTGGAAACCTCACTCGCCAGTAAGTTGCAGTGATCATATAAGAACAAACTAGAAGAGGATCTCAGGGCTGCCAATCTATGACGATAATAATAACTAACTAGAAAATTATTGCAACCCAAAAGTTACTGATTACCCGTCTAAAAAGTTCTTCTAGATCTAGTCGACAAGATCATTGGACACAGTTGTAGTTGCTAAGTTAGGTTGCTCTCCATTAGATGTAATGATAAGGTTTTTTCTCAACGTTTCACTTGATTTCTCTAGTTTTACTTCATGTTCTACTTTATTTCTGCTTATCAATTAGTTTAATGCACTCTAACATAGCTAGCAATCAAAGAAGGTTAATTCTTGCATTTAGTTTTAAATAACTATCAATTTGTAATGTACACTAGTACGCTTGTTATATATTTCTCATTTAAAATCTTTCAATTATCTGACCTACATTTCAACATGAAATTATCGATCGACTACTAAATATACTGATCTATTTTTATTTTTGTTTTAAAATCGTTTAGATACTGTTTATCACCTGCTACATCCATTTTCTGTACATTCCTATTCTACTGTAAATTTGTCTTCCTAAGTATTTGACTAGTGACCATATTTTCTACCGTATTTTCGAATCATAAATGGCTAAAAATACTGGCGATACAAAATTTCGAACGGTGAATGTTGATCAATTGACTGAACCAACATTTCAAGATGAAACAACGGAAGATATTAAACCGTCTAGATTAAATATCTCTGAAATTAATAGTTTAATTTCAAGTGGAAAATCTACCGATGCTATTTTATACATATTACAAAATGCTCCAATTAATTCAAAAGATCAACAAGCTAAAGATACAGTATTCAAATTGATGATGCGTTTACTATCACAGTTTAAACCAAATCAAAATATTGATGAATTTTTGTCATCTATGGATCAAGATAAAATTGATTTACTTATGAAATATATTTATCGTGGATTTGAACAACCACAAGAGATAAGTTGTGCAACTCTATTGACATGGCATGAGAAGGTGCGTTTAAAAAGTTCACTGTATCATATGCTATGACTCTAATAATGTTTAGTTTAAAATTAGCCGGAGAATGCGTTTTATATGCCTTAGTAAAACTATTTCTGTAATTGTACCGAAAATAATATTTATTTTGGATTAAAAATGTTGATCTTCAAAAATGGGATCTGTTCACCGAATGATTAGTTGTTGATCTTCCATACCTTAAGTAGAGTAATCACATAAATTATTCAGAATCAGCTATCAATAACTCTAGCTTACTTACTTACTTACGCCTGTTACCCCCAATGGAGCATAGCCCGCCCACCAGTTTTCTCCAACCAACTCTGCCCTGGGCTTCCCTCTCCAGTTCTGTCCAATGTTCGTTCATTCCTCTCATATCTTTCTCTATTTCTCGGCGTAATGTGTTCCTTGGCCTTCCGCTTTTCCTTTTGCCTTGAGGGTTCCATGTGAGGGCTTGTCTCGTGACGCAGTTAGGTGCTTTTCGTAGTCTGTGTCCTATCCACTTCCATCGCTTCTTCCTGATTTCCTCCTCCACTGGAATCTGGTTTGTTCTCTTCCACAGTAAGTTGTTGCTGATGGTGTCTGACCAACTAATACGAAGTATTTTGCGTAGACAGCTGTTCATAAACACTTGTATCTTCTGGATGATGGCTTTGGTTGTTCTCCATGTTCTCGCTCCATACAGTAGAACTGTCTTGACATTTGTATTGAAAATCCTGATTTTGGTTCTGGTTGATAATAACTCTTACCTCCTCCTAAGTTATCCCAGTATTCTGTTTTCCTTGATTTGGCTAACAGGTTCGATGTCTATCAGTTCAGTTTGCTTTATCATGATTCATACTTTTCTTCATATGGATCGTTTGCAAATGAATATGCTTTGTTTGTTCATTAAAAACAACCACTAACAAAAAGTCTGAAAAACAAATTAATTAATTTTAGCTACAAACATCATGGACCTCAAAAAATTTCTTGTTTCAGTGTGATTTTATCAATCAAATTTGCTAATATACATTTAATCGTGTTATTTAAAAAATTAATAGGCTTGATGAAAAACTGTCTAATGTCCCAGAAAAAAAATTAATGTTAGTTTGACTTCACAGTTTAAATAATTATCATTCTACCATTGAAGCACTTCCACGGTGTGGGCTGCCGGGAAGTGATATCCGCCCTCATACTCGTAACAGTATGCGAGACTAAACTAGTCCGAATCAAATCCCCCTTATACTTTTTAATAACCCCCTTATCTCCAGGACCAAACATTCTCACGTTTCTTTGTCACCTCGCGCCGCTAATGTTGTTGGGACATGTGTCCCAAAGCATGTCCCGAAGCGTTGCTCGTATATCGTGGGACACCCGAGTGAGAAACGCTGTTATTAGGAAACGGGTACTAGGTAAGAATGGCAGATCAATAGATGAAGTGGTGAAACTTCATCAGTTGAGGTGGTTGGGACATGTGTTGCGTATGCCCAACCACCGACTACCTCGTCGAGCTTTGTTTTGTAGTGTAAGAATAGGTTGGAAGAAAGTTAGGGGCGGCCAAACCAAAACATGGCAGAAATCCATGAAGTCATTGACGAGTGGACTTAGCCATGTCGGTAATTGTCGACTACCTGGTTGGGGTCCGCGAGATGATAATAATCGATGGCTAGAGACCTCAAAATCGTTCGCAATGGCGCCAGTGCATTTATTCTTTGTGTTCTCTCAAATCCTAATCTTCTGGATTCTTCAACACCTCTAGTTGTGACTTTCTAAACTTTTCTCACTGAATCATACTTCTTGAATACTATCTTCTAATCCTAACCTCTCCGATTACTTCTAGTACCTTTACTACCTCTTCTACTATTGGATTTGAATTGACAATTATATCTCTGTACTGATGTGGTATGGCGACATGAACTGATGTACTTACGTACGAAGTTCTACGTTGCGACTGACTGACTTGGGACATGTGTTATGTGTGCCCGAACACCGACTGCTTAGACAAGCGATGTTTTGTGGTGGGATTTGAAGTGACAATTGCATCTCTGTGTTGCCGTGGTATGGCAACTTGAACTGATGTACGTGCGTACTAAGTTCAACGTTGTAACTGACTGACTGACTGACTAACCATTGAAACACTACTTTGATAGATACTTTATCTACTTTGGTTTGAACAACGACAAAGTATTAATTTCTGGTATTATTTCACACTCTATTCAATGGGTATAAACTGTAATAATAATAGATGAGTTCAATCTTATAAGTTCGTGAAACTGATCACAACAAACTGTCATTCAGTTCAATTGAACTCGTAGATTAAAAAACTGTTTGACAATTCCTCCTGGTAATTTTATACATTGAAATTCCAAAAAATAAATCATACCAATTACATAACTGTATTTTAGTATTATTTGTATTCTTTTTTCACTGCAGGTTTATACTTACGGCAAAGCTGGTTCTATTATGCGTGTCCTTACTGATCGTAAACGTGTTTAACCCAATTCTATATACCGCTAGCTTATATCATGTATTATTATGCTTGTACTTACAGTATTTTTTTTCCAATACCTATGTTAATATGTTTTACTTTTTCATCAGTTTAATTTACTTATAACAGCAAGTTATATTAATTTGTGCTTTCATTAAAACACCAAACAACGAATGAGACATTGAATAAAAATTCAGAGTGTTGAAATGATTTGATTGGTTGCTTTATTTTTTCTTCCTTTTTCAAAAAAATACCTACTTTATATTATATTATTAATTTTATGAAAAAAAAAATTTTTTTTCTCTAAAACTTTTATTCAATTCAATCATGAATATATGCAGATTAGACGGATTCAGCTGAATTGTTTTTGTTTTTCGTTTTGTTTTTTTGTAAAATTCATCTTTATATGACCATTTTCTGTTTTGTTTTTTTCTAAAAAAAAAAGATGTACTTTGCATATATTAGACATGTATAATCTTTGCTGAGATTTTAAACAAGAATTGTGAATAAAATTTCTTCTTAACACGTTTGGTGTGTATGGTAGTCAGTCAGTCAATGATACAACGTAGAACTTCCTACGTGTGTACGTAAGTTCAGGTTGTTTATACCACATTAGCACAGAGACGCCAATGTACATAGTGGTGAAGATAGTAGAAGAATTACTGGTAATGCAGAATATTAGAGACTGAGATATTATTCAAGAAGTGTAGTTCAGTGAGACAACTTTAGAGGGAAAAAGATTGAGATAATGAGGAATTCTGAAGATTAGAATTTGAGAGAACACAAAGGGTGGATGCACCTGCGCCATCGCAAACGATTTTGAGGCATGTCGTCCAAGGTCTATAATCAACGGTGACTTTTGTATCGCGGACCCCAACCGGGTAGCCTGCACCTACCAACATGACTCAATCCAGTGGTCAGTAACTTCAGGGATTTGTGCCATCCTTAAAAATCTCAGAGGTCAATCTATCAGGCCCTGCTGCTCTCACTCGCCTCAGATTTCCTATCACTTTCTCAACTTCATGAAGATTCGGAGGATTTATATTGATTTGCCGTTCAGGATGACTGGAGATCGTGGGTAACCGAGGTATTGCTGAAGGCCGGTTGAACTGATTGCTAAAGTGTTCTCTCCATCGGTTCAATCTGCTGGATTGAGAATGAATAATAGTCCCATCCTTTTCTGAGATAATCTCACAGTCGGGCTCCTAATACCGGTTTCATTGATAAGTCTGAACAACTGTCTGCTGTTACCTAGTGCCATTGCCTTTTCCAACGCTCTGGCTTTCTCTACCCATTACTGTTCGTGATCGTTGCGTATGCTTTTTGTCGGTATGCGCCTAAGCTATCTTCGCTCTTCGTCATGTTCAGAGCCAGGTGGTCTGAGTTTACGAGTGTCTATCAGTTCTGTGGACGCTACTGAAATCCACGGCTTCTTCCTAGACTTATGATTTACCTTACTGGCAGATATCGTTGCTGTTTCCACAGCCTTTTTGATATCGTTCCGACCTGCCTCCGGATGGGAATTGCTTACATGATCGCCTAACTGTTTTTCTAGTTGTTCCTGAAATATATTCTTCGCCTTATTATCATTAAGTAGAAGCCTAAGAGGTTTTCTTGCAATGTCTTTTCTACGTCCAGTAAGTCGCAAACAAATACGCGCTCGCACTAGAGCATGATCTGAATCTAAACATGTGCCCCAGAACGAGCGACAGTCTTCTATCGAACCTCTCCATCGGTGGCTGATGGCGATGTGATCTAGTTGGGTCCAACGTTGAGACGACTTTGGGGGTCGCCATGTCAAGAGATGTTTTTCCTCATGCCTAAAGTTAGTGTTTGCTAGGAATAAGCGGTTATCTGAGCACAGATACAGCAGACGGTCACCACTATCTGTTCTTTGAGCCGCGAAACCATAGGATCCAGCCAGGTGTCTTTCCTTTTCACTTAGTCTACCTACTTGAGCATTGTAGTCACCAGCCATTATTACTATATCAGAGCGCCTGACTTTTTGGAAGAGGTCCGAGAGCTTTCACCTCGTCTGAACGGCAGTCAGTGAGGGCGTAAGCAAATACGACGAGTGTCCCTATCTTTCCGAGT